TCTTCCTCCTCCCTCCCTCTCTTCCTCAACCGCCAATCCCCGACGGCTGAGGGCCACCGCCAATGGCGGCCGCCGCCACTATTCCTCTTCTGCAGTTCGTCCCCGCCAAAACCTTCCAGGCCAAGCACCACTCCAACAGGCTCCGACCCACCAAACAGAGAGGTCCATTTCTCCTGAAAGTTTCGATCTTTGAGCTTCTTTGAACTTCTTCGAGCTCGTTTTTGCTTAATTCCTACTTTTTTGTTGATAGTTTTGGTGGGTTTTGTTTTGCAGGAAGTTTTGGTTTGTCTATGATTATATGCGCGTCTTCCAATGGAAGAGAGCCTGATTCTGCCGACGGCGGCGTCAAGAGCGTGGAGCGGTTGCTGGAAGAGAAGCGGCGCGCCGAGCTCTCTGCTCGGATTTCTTCAGGAGAGTTCACTGTGGAGAAATCTGGGTAATGTGATTATTAGTGATTGAAATTCTGCGTTTAGTTTTGATCTGTTTTGGGAGTTTCTGCTGCATTTGATCAAATTCACTTAATAATTTGTTTAATGAATTCTAATTATACTTAATTATAGCAAAGCTAGGTGTATAAGTTCAATTTTACTTTGATGTTAAGTATTTGGTGACTAAAAGTCTAAAACCTTTTTTTGGTTTTTTGCTGTTCTTAATTGTCTGAAGAAAGTCTTATTACTTTTTTTTATGGACTTGTGGAAGTAAATTCTTATCTGGGGAAGCTTTATTTTTGTGTTATTATACATCCACATTTGCGTTTATGCATTTCTAACTCTGAGTCTCTTGAATGTGGTAATTAGTTTTCCATCTCAATTGAAGAGTGGTTTGTCGAAGATTGGTGTTCCTACTGGGGTACTAGATTTCTTGTTCAGCTGGGCTGATGCACCTGAAAACTATCCAAAAATTCCGGAGGCAAAGGGAGCGATCAGTGCCATTCAAAGTGAGGCCTTTTTCGTCCCCCTGTTTGAGCTTTACCTCACATATGGTGGAATTTACAGGCTGACATTTGGACCAAAGGTTTTTTCATTTCTAATATCCATCTCATTGATTAATAGTACTCTCTCTCAAGCTTAGGGGATTGTTTTGACGGAAAGGGCGTCGTTCTGAATGAATTATTTGTTGGTTCTTGCTGCAGTCCTTTTTGATAGTTTCTGATCCCGCGATTGCCAAACATATATTAAGAGAAAATTCAAAGGCTTATTCAAAGGTAAACCAAATTGATAATGTCTTTTCCTGTCCTCTCTCTCTGCCTCTTCCTTTCTTAAGTGATAAATACTTTGTGCGCAGGGAATCTTGGCTGAAATTCTAGAATTTGTTATGGGGACTGGACTCATTCCCGCAGACGGTGAAATATGGCGCCTTCGACGACGTGCTATAGTTCCCGCATTGCATCAGAAGGTATTTCGTACTTTTCCTTCTCGTTTCAGTTGCGATTCCTTTTTTAATCTTGTGGAAAAATGTCTCTGTTTCCATACATTCAATGTTTCCAATAGCAAAAGCATCGGGCAAGGCATCCCTAGGTTCAAAAGTTTGAAGAGCGTATTGATTTTGTTCATATATTAAGAAAATGTTCTTTCTTTATAACAAAAAACACTTGATTATTTAGAAAACTGCGGATAGAAATTTTATGAGCTGTTTGCCTTATTAAAAGCCTGTTCATTTTCTCATGCAATTTGGACTACCTCACTGTAAATGTAAACTTGAACTGGCCGTAGGAACTATTTTTAACTTTATTTTCGTTGGTCAATTTTTATTGTTGATTTCTATTTTTTTATTTTGAACCTGTAGTATGTAACAGCTATGATTAATCTCTTCGGAGAAGCTACAGACAGGCTTTGCCAGAAGCTAGATGCTGCTGCATCTGATGGGGAAGATGTAGAGATGGAGTCGCTTTTCTCCCGTTTGACACTGGACATCATTGGCAAGGCACTTTTTAATTATGATTTTGATTCGTTAACAAATGACACTGGGATCGTCGAGGTATTCCTTTCGATTCCTTTTCTCTTAGTTCCAGTTATACAAGGTTCGTTCCTGTTTAGCTTCCACTTATCTTCACTGTTCTCTTGATCACATATTGGTGTCATTCTATTTTGGCTAGAGCAGGCTGTGTACACTGTCTTGAGAGAAGCAGAAGATCGTAGTGTTGCACCAATACCATTATGGGAGATCCCAATATGGAAAGACATTTCACCACGACAAAGAAAAGTCGCAACAGCCCTCAAATTAATTAATACTACACTGGATGATTTGATAGCAATTTGCAAGGTAAAGCCATCATTTGTTTGGCACGACATGTTTCTGATCACACTCACGCATATGTATTTTCTTTTAAGTTCATACGTGGCTGGGCATGGCTGCTAATCTGATGCATTATTGCTTTAATTTTTATTTTTCATTTGTCATCTGCAGAGAATGGTAGACGAAGAAGAGCTACAGTTTCATGAGGAGTACATGAATGAACAAGATCCTAGTATTCTCCATTTCCTTTTGGCATCTGGTGATGATGTATGTAACTACAAACTATCGGACATGCTTGTCACTAGCTCAAATGGTTGAACTTATTGCTCCACTGTTTGTAGGTCTCTAGCAAGCAACTCCGTGACGACTTGATGACAATGCTAATAGCTGGGCATGAAACATCAGCTGCAGTCTTAACGTGGACCTTTTATCTTCTTTCCACGGTAACAAGTTTGAGGCTTAGTAATGGAATCATGGAACTAATTTCTCACTTTTATATTCTTTAGTACATAGTAATACAGATTTTTACGTGAACTGGATAAATATAACGACTTGTAAATCTTGGGTGCTTGCTAAGTTTATGTATGTGGTGAATAATGACTACAAATAATCATGCTTGAATCGAAAATCTATTTCTCATGATTTGGTGGTTTTTGGCCGACTGTAGGAGCCTGGGGTCATGGCCAAGCTCCAAGAGGAGGTATGTTAAAGTTTTAACTTTAATACATCCATATTTTACCAGAAGAATCAATAGGTGTTGTGAATACTTCAGTCTATATCGTATGTTCTTTTTAATTATAACACTTTGTGTTCTTAGGCTGATTCCGTTCTGGGAGATAGATTTCCAACCATTGATGATATGAAGAAACTCAAGTATGCAACTCGAGTGATTAACGAAGTAAGCAGATCAGCTTTTATCAGAATGATTAGAAGGTTAATCTTCTATATTAATCGTCAATACGATTGTTTGTTTTTGGTTTAACCTTCCTTCTTCCTTTGTAGTCCTTGAGGCTTTACCCACAACCACCTGTGTTAATTCGTCGTTCACTGGAGGATGACAAGCTTGGAGACTACCCTATTAAAAGGTTAATTTGTCGTTCATCTGTATCGATATATGTGGTTAACATTATCTTCCTCATTCTTTGAATATTACTATGCAACAAACTAATTCCTTTATTATATTTTCATATACAGGAATGAGGATATATTTATTTGCATTTGGAATCTGCATCGCAGTCCAAAACAATGGGACGACGCAGATAAGTTTAACCCTGAAAGATGGCCATTAGATGGACCCAATCCAAATGAAACAAACCAAAATTTTCGGTATTTCATCTCTCTGCCTATTTAATGAATCGGATTTTTGTCACAATATATTGTTCTTTGTTAGTAATTATTGTATTCTGGAGTTACAACTGGTCTGTTACGCTATCTTCGTTGAGATTGGATTCAGGGTTGGATTTGTCCTGTAGGTTTTGTGTTAAGGATCCATGCCTTTTTACAAATAAATGACTGGTAGTTATGGTTTCAGTTACTTGCCCTTTGGCGGAGGACCACGGAAATGCTTAGGTGACATGTTTGCAACGTTCGAGGTAATATAAACATTTGAACTTGTTGGATAAATCACTGAAATTTTTGTGTGCTTCTTCTCACGACGACCCTTTACAAGTATTCAGAGCTTCTCCTTTACCCAAAATAGGAAAGTGTTTTGAAACTTTCACTTTGCTGATTGACAGACTGTAGTAGCACTTTCAATGCTTGTTCGAAGATTTAACTTTCAAATGGCACTCGGCGCTCCTGAGGTAAGTATCCCTGTGTTGTTTCCTGCGCGTATTATATCTAGCCTAAGAGTAGCTTTTTGAAGTGTGATGCTTAAACTCGGTATTTGCTGGTGCAATTGGGAAGAACCACAGTAAGTTTTATGATTCTATCTAATGAATGGTTCTTGGAGCAGGTCAAGATGACAACGGGAGCCACCATTCACACGACGGAAGGGTTGAAGATGACAGTCAGTAGGAGGATAAAACCTCCGATTGTTCCCACATTGGAGATGCCTGCATTTGAAGTGGATACGCCCGTCGGTGTCCCAAAAGGGGATTCTTTAGTTAGTCAGAAAGGTGAGGTTTCTTCTGCTCATCCTTGATCCTTGATTATCGCAGTCGAACTACATGATTCTAAATGGCTGAGATTTATGTTCTGATGTGTTTGATGTGCTTCGGTTAAATCTTCTGTTCGACGACGTCAGGTTTGTAGTAGATAATGCTGTAAATTAAGAGGGAGACTATATATCGTAAGATGCAATTAAGCATAGGGCGGTTGTGCTTAATTAGGTAATTTATCTCTACCAAATTGTGGAAGAGTTTCTGTTTAAACACCATTTCCGATCCAAGTTCAGTTCATCACATTTTTATCCACACCTCATTAAAAACTCTAAAACCCAACTCTTTTTAAGAGAAGAGTAACGTTTTTAGTTTCGGAGTTGTTCTGGTGGAGCTGCTTATGGGTCAGCAGTAGCAAGGCCGGAGTATGAAAGAAATCTGGTAATGTATTTTGTTTTGGGAATCTTTTTGGAGATTTCATATGTACTTGAACATTTTTTCAAATTTTTTATATGAATACAAATTTTAAGCGATTGTCGTACTAACTTTCCGAAATTATGAATTCATCATCTCACCCTAACTTTTAAGTATGTCATTTAAAATGAATCACTACTTTGCACAAGACTTGTGATCAGAGTTATTTCGAAGATTTCAACATCTCACTCTACTCCTAATAAGTTGCCTTGGACAAGAAAAATTCTAGGCTCTCAAAAAATAAAAAAGGGGTTGATATGATATATGAGAATCTAAGGGCTTGGCGTTCGGAAACGAGGAATGACGTGCACTCGCTTTTATGTGTTTCGAAGTGAATATGACTCAAACATATAGTCATTGGGACCCTCTATGGTAAAGTCTGATGATATTCTTTATGTTAAAATGTCCGAAATAATCCCGAACACAAGTTATGTGTATTGCACTTGACCTATTTTGAATGAGAAATTTACTGGTGTTAAGGCGAGATGATAAATTAGTGATTTTGAAAAGTTTGTACAACGATTGTTTAAAATTTTAATTCATATAAGTTAATACAACATTTCAAAAAATTTCCCCTTTGTTATCTGCTCGAATTTTTTCCATTTCGAGTTAGGCTGGAACTTGCTAGCAGCAACCGAACCAACCCGAAGATTTCAAACACAAATTTTATGCCAGAAAGCGATCGGAACTCCGCCAAAAATCAAACCCCTAACCGGAAGAACCAAATGCAGAGAGAGCAAGTAGCAGCCAAAGCAGCAAAAGGGAAATCCTAACTCAACCAGGAAAACTCAAACCAAATCCTAAGTCGTCCAGGAAAACTTTTACGTAACAAACAGACATAAAAGGGAAGGTATTGTCGTATCCTAATTGGAAAATCAAACCAAACTCTATATGCAGGAGTTCCGACAACACGAGGAGTCCCAACTACATGAGGATGAATGTGTCCGACTATATATATCGAATGTAAGATTTGATTTGTCATCAGTTAATCTCAAAACAGAACGAGTACGTTGATTTGTTACTACGAACAAGTATTCGATTATTGCAAACGAAGATAGACTAACATGCCTTCGATGGAGAAGGTGACGCAATGGAGGAGATTGGTGATCCTTGGAGTAGCACTAGCACTACTTGGTTTGCTCTTCTTCTTCCCTATTAACAATGCTGCTTCTGAGACGACGAGGATTTCTGGAAGGCGAGCACTGAGGAGCGTTACTGGCGATGAGCTCAACTTCAACCAGATGCTAACAGAGCAAACTCAGAACACGGTGGAGCTGTACAATGGCATTGTCCGAGTCACTTTTTCAAATCCCGGAGGAGACGTCATTGGAATTCAATACAAGGGAATTGACAACTTGCTTGACATCAAAAACCCCCCAAGCAATAGAGGTTACTGGGATCTTGTATGGAAAAATGGCGAGGACAGACTACAAGCAACAACATTTAAGATTGTTACATCGACGGCGGATCAAATAGAGATTTCTTTTAATAAGACTTATGATGTTTCCCTCAGAGATTGGACGCTACCCTTAAATGTTGACAAAAGGTACATAATGCAGCGTGGTCGCGCTGGGTTCTATGCGTATGCCATATACGAGCGTCTAGAAGGGTGGCCGGAATTGCGCATAGATCAAACAAGACTTGCTTTGAAGCTTCGAGAAGATAAATTTCAGTTCATGGCTATATCAGACGACAGACAAAGATTCATGCCAACAGCCGAAGATCGCGAAGGAGACCACGCTCAGACCCTTGCCTATCGTGAAGCTGTTCTTTTAACTAATCCAAGCAATCCCGAGTTTAAAGGAGAGGTGGATGACAAGTACCAATACTCCAGTGACGTCAAAGACATTAAGGTTCACGGTTGGATTAGCACTGACGATGCTATAGGGCTTTGGATGATCACACCTAGTACTGAGTTTCGTTCAGCGGGGCCATTCAAGCAGGAACTTACCTCTCACGTCGGCCCAACTGCCCTCACTGTGTTTCTTAGTAGTCACTACGTCGGGAAAGATGTTGGGTTGACCTTTGCAGACGGTGAGGCATGGAAGAAGGTTTTCGGGCCCGTCTTTTTGTATCTTAACTCAGACGTTCCAAGCTCGAATGCGTCCTTCTCTCTGTGGGAAAATGCAAAAGAACAGATGTATGAAGAAGTAAAGAGTTGGCCATACAATTTCACACAGTCCGAAGACTTTCCTAACTCCAATGAACGCGGATCAGTTTCTGGTCAGTTACTAATACGGGATTCGTACATCAACGAGAGCCTAGTCTCAGCAAGTTATGCTTACGTGGGACTGGCTCCGCGCGGATACGCGGGATCATGGCAAACAGAATGCAAGGGTTATCAGTTCTGGACTCAAGCTGACAACCAAGGTTATTTCTACGTGAAAGATGTTCGACCGGGGAACTATAGTTTGTATGCAACTGTTCCAGGCTTCATTGGGGACTACAAATACGAGTACGATATTACAATTGAAGCAGCAAGTGAAGTCAGTTTAGCTACTCTTACCTTTGAACCTCCGAGAAACGGTCCGACCTTGTGGGAAATCGGCACGCCTGATCGATCAGCCGCAGAGTTCAACATACCGGATCCATATCCAACCCTTGTGAACCGTTTGTTCACTGATAATTACGCAAACAGGTTTAGGCAATATGGCTTGTGGGAACGATACGGAGATTATTACCCTGACCGTGATCTCATCTACACCGTCGGCACTGACAATTACGGTGATGATTGGTTTTACGCTCATGTGACAAGGAACAGAAATGGTACATACGAGGCAACGACATGGCAAATTGTATTTCAACTTGAGAACGTTTGGAACACCGGAAATTATACGCTCCAATTGGCGTTGGCCTCGGCCAACTACGCAGAACTGCAGGTCCGATTCAACAACCAGAATGACGCAGCTCATTTTTCGACGGGGCTAATAGGGAAGGACAATGCCATAGCAAGGCATGGAATTCATGGTTTGTACTGGCTCTTCAGTGTCGATGTGCCGAGCTATCGACTTCAAAAAGGATACAACACCGTCTATCTTACTCAATCAAGAAACTGGGGACCTTTCGCAGGACTTATGTACGACTACATCCGACTAGAAGGACCTCCTCCAAACTGATTGTATTTTATGTATTTTCAAAGAGTTTTACAGTAATTAAGATTTACGATTTTTTTCATATTTGTTTCAAATTATAACTTTATAAATTCAAGTTTCGACAAGCTAAAAAAAATTAAAATAACGATACAGGATATCTTCTAATATTGTCTGACTAGTAATGGATCAGTGATCAGCCTAAACGTATATAGAATCATGGGCAGCCAAGACGTCGCTGTCGAGAGTCATGCGGGGGAGTAGCCAAAACATCTCCTGAAAGATAATAACCTTCTTCTAGTTGGCAATGACTGATCAGGTTCGTCGTCATCAGATTTATTGCAAGGAAAATGCCTGTGAAAGGCCTTCACTGCTCCCTTGACCCCATCTTCGCTATCCATGGCCTTCGCAATTTCTACAGCACGCTCTTTAACCTTTCAATGGAGTAGTTATGTTAAAATTGTATTCTAATAAACAATGTCAAGTTTTGTTCAACGCGAGTGCAGGTGTTAGAATTTTACACGAAAAAAAAATGACAATTTATAGCACCAGCATAAGTGAATCACTTGAAGTTAGAAAAGAAAACGGTATATACCATTGGATCTAGCATGAAGCGTATGGCATCAACCAATTTTTCAAGCGAGAATTCCTCGACTGGGATGGGTGCAGGACCTACACCTCTGGCATGCACCCTCTCGCCCCAAAATGGCTGGTCCCCGAAGAATGGTATAATTGTAGTCGGACACTAAAAAGAACACAATATCACCCATAAATAAGCCACTAACTAAATCATTCCCTAATATAAGATTTCCCAATAATAATTTTATCAGTTACCTCAGCTTTCAGACCAGCAGCAGTTGTTCCAGCACCCCCATGATGTACCTAAAATGAATTTCCGTATCCAATGTGAAACCAAGTTCATTCGGAAAGAAAACAAAGTACAAGCAAAAGCTAGACACAAAAGAAGTGCGTCAAGTTTATGCATGACGACAGACTGCAACGGAGATAACATTTCAGCACAACCGTGATAGAATGACGTTGTGAACACCAGTGCAATGAAATCTCAACCAATCAAAATGAGTTAAAAGCAATAACAATTTACCACACCAGAGCATCGTTTGAATAACCAATCGTGGGGGCAGTTGTCCACTAAGTACACAGAATCACTTGGTTCTACCGCTGAGAAGAGAAATATATAAAGCTTTTCACATGTAAAGAAGTAAGAATACAATGTGCTTGTAAAAACTTAAGATATAATATTTTATACATATACATATATATATATATATATGTGTGTGTGTGTGTGTGTGTATTTTATTAACGAATCGAGACTTACAATTACCAAGGCCACCCCAGCCTCTGTTGATAATGCCTCTCTGTCCAGTTATTTCCAGAGCTTGAAGAATAATATCAGTCATTTTCTCCGGTTCTTCAAGAGGCTAATAAAAAACCATAATAGAAGGAAAAACATTAGCATGTTACAAGACAATTTACCACTTTAATAACATGTTCAATCAAGTAACCTTAACTATACAATTGGCAAGTATACTCTGCATGCATTTGTAATGTTCTCAGTCAAATCAGATATTGAACTGAGCAAAGGGGACAATTTTTCACTTCATGAATAGACCCCTCACAACCAGTTGGTTGGGGACCAGCATGAAGGTGGTCACTCATTGGTGATGTGTGGTTTTGGCTCTCATGGTGATTGTTTGGTCGGAGAGTAACAAGTGTTTTTTGAGTGTACGGTGGAAACAGAGCTACTCTGAGATAGAACTGGGCAAAGAACATTAAACATGAATAGAAAATGCTCCAACAAAAAAAAAAAAAAAAAAAAAAACACTCACAAGGCTACCAAATCCAATATATACAGGTGCGTCACCAGCTTCAAGCCACTTAGCAAGTGGCTCAGGGGGTTCATAATTTGAAGCAAGGTCAAGAAAACAAAACCCAACAACGTCAACCTTTGGTCCCCAATCTGCCAGACAAGTGAAAACCAAAGCATATTAGCAAATAATTGGCATACTTTTTTCTCATTTGGTCAAGCTAGTATATTTCTCCCCTATCAAATCATATTCTGGAGGCTTCTGCAATAATATCAGCATAAGAATCCCATTGTTGCATGATAAAGCGTATCTAGTGACCACGATGAGTATTTTAAATTGACCATGTATCTCTATCATATTTTCAGCAATAAATTGTAAACAATTACTTGTTTTTGAACAATGAGGTTATCAAACATACAATGAACCCCAACTAGGCAAGAAACAAGGTGAAAGGCTATGAGAAAATCCTCAAAAGAATTTCAATCCAGGTGGACCAAGAATCAACAACAAACAAACCATACAACATCGAGTCCGTTTTTCAATTTGTGGAACAACGAGCAATAAAATATTAACAAGCTCACACCAAGCACATAGTGGGCAATCCATCGAAATACATCACCTGTAGAACTAAAGACAACCTCTAACCCATATATATGGACAGAAAAGCCAAAATTAATCTTCCATTATGACATTCGATATCAGTTCATTTAGTATGGAAGAAATCTGTGACTTCATATCAAGTATTGACATGCAAATTTTCATCTGAAGGAAAAAGATTTAAATATATGACCTTGAGGTTTGGGAACAAGATGAGGACTCCATATATACCCATAGGGCACGTCAGGAGGAGAACTATAGTATCCACTTAAATATGTGATAGGTCTGAGCTTCAGCATTTTCTTCCTAAACTCATTAATCATGTCTCGAATTCCTAGCCAAATAAATGCATCGACTAATTGATATGATAGCTGGAAAGAAAAGAAAAATCTGTTTAATTACATAATATAAGCCTGGCAAACAAACGCATCAATATAGATCACTATCACTTAGGTAGAAAAGGATATTGTATGAGACTCACTCTATATCCAATTGGCTGCTTGACACGAGATAGGGGATGGGGGAATTCACTCGTAGGCCTGAGAAAGGTAAATAGTTATCAAGCGATTGATCAAACAACAAAGAATATTTCATGATTTGCTGCTTTTCTCTCTTTTAACAGTACGTTTAAAGTACATACATATGCAATGAACCGTGTGTGATTGAGAAATAATAGGTCAACCAAAATGAACAATGGACGATGAAACTGAGAGAATCATTGAGCAAAAGATATCAGCATTTGATCTAACCCAGGAGACAACACTTACGTCCATGGCATTGTGAAAAATATATGAAGCGGTACTTTTAGTGCCTCGGCGACATGAGAGTGCCCTGGACAAGTGTTTGCAAAGTTAGGAGTCTACTAAATGATTTCAAACAACATAAATATTCATTCTTCCCTTTATATCAAGTTAAATGGTTCAGATATTTAATTTAGAAAGATCTTCTCGTAATTGTTCTCTCCAAAGAACAGAAGCATGGAGACTTTCTGAGCATTTCAAGTGGTTGAGGCTATGACCCCATGCATCCATCAACATTGTCAGTGGTAGATTTACTTAAACACATCAATATAGGGTCTTCAATTATTTCAAAGGTAATAGGAGCCACAAACACACAAACACCTTGTTCTTAAAGCCAAATATTGTGTGTGGCCAATTCAATTGTTTGAAGAATGCCATTGATACTTGAAAACCCAAAACAATATAATAAGATGATGAAATCTAACCATAGGCTGGTGGATTGGCAATTATTGCTTCTGCTTTAAATGGAATTTTGGAATCAGGATCAGGTTCGTTGCATGCAGGAAGTAAAGAAAAAATTATTTCCTTCAACTGATGTCGCTGAATTGATATTTCCGAAGGTCCTGATGGCAAGAAACCTTTATTCTTGACCATATCTGTAAAAAACAAAAGCACTACATCAATACAAAACCAATAAAAAAGACAGGCATGTTCACATATGTGTGTTTTTTAAGGAAATCTTCAATGTTAAATTTCCAAGATTACCTCCTAACGATTCAAGCAAGCAGAACAAGGTACATGAAAATTAAAACCTCAATGCTAAAATAGGTTTGACATGTGGAACAAGGTAGCGGTTAAATTAACTAAACTTTATACAAAGTAATAATTTCAGAAATTAACAAATGATGGAATAAACAGACCAAAGACTCATCATTATTGTACGCAGGGCATGGAAAAGAAACAAATTCTGCACTTACAACCAGCAAGAACCTTTGGATCTCCACCTAAAGGATAGAACTCCAACCCAGCAGAAAGGACAAAATCTTTGAAATTTGCATGAGTTGCTAGCCTAACCCTATGGCCATATTCCTGCAAGTAAACACATCCATCAATTCACATAATGTCGAGGATAAGCTTCCCAAGAAGAACTATATTTTCCTTTCACTCATCGCCTCGAAAATTTCCATCACAAAAAGTAAAATTCTCAAAGTACTTGGACTAAATTATATCTTTATGAATAAATACACGCACACAAAGCATATTAGAAAGTAAAATGGATGCGAGTAACAGGCACAAACAAAGCAATAAATCGACAAAGCAATTAAAATTTCTAACAACATCAATTTTCATCAAAAAATTAATCACCAGCAGAAAACACTAAGCAAAACCGAGCACGAGCATATATCCAGCAAAAGATAAAAATTCTTTCACAATTGTTGTCCACATTCCCAATCAGTTGCACACAAAATTATGAAGCATTTCACTGTTAAGTTCTATATAGCTAAAAGCACATAAATGCAAGACCTGCAATCGCTTTCCAATGGCAACAAACGGCTGCACATCTCCTCGTGTGCCGACAATAAGCATTACAATTTGCAGAGGAGGTATATCTCGAACTTCAGTTTCCGTCTTGCTTCCATCTTCTCCACCAGAAGCTGCTTCACTGTGGGCAGCTCCAGTTCCGAAATCCAGATACTGCGGTTTAATATCACCCGGAACGTCAAATTGCACGGTCCCGTCATCTTTCACTTTTGCCAGCCGTTTTATATATTTACGCTGCAGAATTTCAATGTAGTTCCAATTAAATCCTAGAGATTTCAAGGACTAAATTCTAAAAACATTAAATTCGAAAACTTCGAAAAATTCAAAAAATTAAATTGAGTACCTTTTTTCTAAAAGGAGTTCTTTGATCAAAGAGCTTGGCGAGAATCACAGCCAACGCCTGGTTCTGAGTCAATCGCGCGCTCGCTGTGAGTTGACTCGAACCGGAGCTCGAACCGGAGCTCGAACCGGACGACGTACGGACGGTGGATGATGACTTTCCAGAATTTTTCTCTGTTTGCACGTCTCCCTCCAAATGCCCTACCAAATCCACATTATTTCACAAACTCGAAACCAAAATTACGAAAATAGACAATGACGATGACGAAGAAGGAGGAGGAGGCGGTGAGGGAACCTGAGGAAGTGGTGGCATTTTCGTCATTAGGATTGGGAGGGACTTCGGCTTCGAAATAGACGGACCCGTCGCTGGAGCTGCCGGAATGGCTCCGGCTGTGGTCGGGGGAGGACTCCGTCATGGATTCGCGGGGAGAGATTCTTTCGAGGTTTGTCAATGGAGAAGGGAAAGGTATCGGAATGCTTTTTCTAGTTCGAGTTGTTGGAGCCGTTGGAAAGCACAAAGCGAGAAAAGAGGGGAGAGAGAGAGAGAGAGAGAGAGAGAAACAGTTGGAACTGCCGAGTTGTGACACGTTCCCAACGCGAGGGCGCCAAATACAACGTAATAACTAAACCCGACCTAACTACCCACCAAAAGGGCAAATACGCCTTTTTATTTCTTTGTTTTACCGCGAATAGTTCGCGTAGGTTTTTTTTATTACCGATAATAAGGAGACGTGCGAATGCTCTTAACTAACTGAATTATAATTTTTGGTTAACAAATTTATCATTTTGTTCTCGTTTCTTATAAGTGTCTTCCTTAAAAGCAATTTCATTTAATTTTTGTCAAAATCAATTGCTTGTCTAAGGCTCTAAAATATTTGAAAAGTAATTTTGTCTTCACACTTTTACCCACAAGTCTTACCACTCCCTTTTTTTTTAAACGAACAATATACTCTACACTAAAAAAAGAATTTTTTATGAACTAATTCCTAAATTTTTGAAACATTAAAAAATGTGATTTTTTTATTTAATTCAAGCAGTAGTGAAAAAGGAGAGTATCAAACTTAGAATTTTAAGTGCAATGTGAATAATTTACCTACTTGAGTTATAAGCTCATTGTTGCAAAAAATGTGGTTGGTATGATAAGAGTTCGTGAAAGGTAGGCCTACAAGTAACCATCAGAGACAATTCAACAGGTGACTAAAACATAGCCATATCTTTATACAAGAATTAAAGTTTTCACAATTTAAGTGAGAATGTATGTATTGACTTCATGACTTAGTAATTTTGAGTCTTGGCCCTTGGAATTATTAGAAGAGTTACTTTATGTTAAACAAGTTAATCATACGCCTCGTAAGTGATCATTTAAGAGTTAGAATTCGGTAATCCCCTACTGGTAAAGGAAAAAAAAAAAAAAACCAAAAATTGTTCTTACCAATCTGCCCGACCCATGAGTAGGCCATGGGTCCGGTTCAAACCCGATTGAATTAGAATTCAAATCCTTCGAAGAGAGAGAGAGTGAGAGTGGCTTGAAGCAGGCCGCGTGTCCTAACTGCGAACTCAGCACCCATAGCCAAACGCCTATCTCTTGTTCTTTTCTCTCTCTACGCTGTACACTCTGCAACAGTGCAACTTGCCTTCTCAGTCAAGGCCTCGGGCAATGGCGGCTGAATCCATAGCAATGCTACCGTGGACAATATCCTCCGCCGTCCCCTCCGACCACCGCCTGCCGCCGCGCGGAGGATTACTCTGCGGTTCTCACAGCCACACCTCCGCAGCTCCAGCTAGAAATTGCGTCGTCGCCAGATACTCCTCGACGCAATCTGCTCTGCTGTTCTCCAAGAACTCGCTCCGGAAATGCCTGCCGCCGCTAAAGGCGTTGGTGGCGTCGGAAACTCTGGACGCTCCGTCGACGCCGTTTAATGGGGAGGATAAAGTCGGAGTCTTGCTGCTTAACCTCGGTGGGCCCGAGACTCTCGACGACGTCCAGCCCTTCTTGTTTAACCTCTTCGCTGACCCGGTAACTTCCTCAAGCTTTTTAATTTTTGAGTTTTTCAAGCTTTTTAATTTCTGAAATTTCAACAAAAATGCCATGAATTTTAATTTAGTAAACTTTTAAGGTTTGTGAATTTTGAATTAAGTAAATTTAAAGTGTGTGAATTTGAATTTAGTAACTTTAATGTGTGTGGATTTAGATTGAACTCTATTGCATTGGGGTAGTATTTTTTGATGTGTGTGAAAAATGGGCAGGATATCATTAGACTGCCGAGGCTGTTTCGGTTTCTTCAGAAGCCATTGGCGCAATTTATATCCGTTCTGAGGGCGCCAAAGAGCAAAGAAGGCTATGCCTCCATTGGTGGCGGCTCTCCTCTTCGACGGATAACTGATGCACAGGCATGACCACTCTAACTTTCTCTTAACATTGACCTCAAGTGCTCTTGAATTGCTTGCGTATCATGTAAAGCTTTAAGCTTGATGGAAATGCTGTCTAATTGGAATTTCATTGGTACCCTTTTCTCCATTCAGGCGGAAGAATTGAGGAAGGCCCTTTATGCGAAGGATGTCCCAGCAAAAGTGTATGTTGGTATGCGTTATTGGCATCCGTTTACTGAAGAAGCTATAGAACAGGTATCTTGGTATGATTTCATTTTGATTTTCGATGTACCTGTCAATGATATCTCGGCTAGTGAGTTATGTATGTCTTAGAGTTTATGTTGTCTTGTACAATAAACAAATATAGTTTTTGTTGAATCATTTCCGCTTCAATTTTTGCTTCACAATGTACTTGAGATGTGCTCTTCTTCCTCTAACTGTGGCATGCCACTTATTTATAATGGTTGTTCCGCACTTTTGTCAAGTCTTAGGTTAAGTCCAATTGAGTTGGTAACATGGAAATTTGTTAAGAGATTTAGGTTTTTGATTGTGGTCAAAACTTCATGGATCTAGTTGTTGATTTTAAAAAGATTTTGTAGATAAAAAGAGATGGAATTACAAAGCTTGTCGTCCTTCCTCTTTATCCACAATTTTCAATATCAACTAGTGGTTCAAGCCTTCGGCTCCTGGAGAGTATATTCCGGTGATGTCTAACTCTAACTATCTGTTGCCATATCATTGCCTCAAATTATAATCTTAAAGCTGACTGGATAATTCATTGGTTCATAAGGGAGGACGAATATCTTGTCAACATGCAGCACACAGTAATACCATCTTGGTACCAGCGTGAAGGGTATATAACGGCAATGGCAAATTTGATTGAAAAAGAGCTTCAACGTTTTGACAGCCCTGAAAAGGTATTGTTAAATCTTTCTTTTTCACATTGATTTTCATGCCTCTAAGTGAGTTACTTATCCTGCATCATTTAAACTAAATGAAAGAAGAAGTACCTCTTAGGGTTCTACAATTCTCATGGCCTCAGAGAAGTTTCTTTAATCTCTATTTAGTGGGGGATATAAGGATTGTTTTATCATATTATGCATACTACTAAGTTGTCGAAAAAGGCTGCCACGAAAAGCAAAGCTATCTCGCTATAACTTTCCTTTCTTCTATTGACACATTTGGATATGGTTTCTTAGCAGTTGAGTGTTTAAATTTTTAGTGCTGCAAGAGACTATAGTAACGCCCTTTTCAGTTTTGGTATATAAATGTATGGTATAATATGCAATTCTTTTCTGTTCTGCTCTAGCTTTTCTCTTACTGACAGTGACACCTAAGTTCCAAAATGAAATTACTTGGTTATCATCCTCGTGTAGATGTCAGCCAGCTTAATTGGGAATGTGCATTACAGGTAATGATATTCTTTAGCGCACATGGGGTGCCACTTGCATATGTGGAAGAGGCTGGTGATCCATACAAGGCGGAGATGGAGGAATGCATAGATTTGATAATGGAAGAGTTAGAAAAGAGAAAAATAACTAATGCGTACACCCTTGCCTATCAGGTGCATTTCTGCTTTTAATTTGATCTGATTTTAGATATGTTTATAAAGGAAAATTGAGTTCAAGCCTCTAGCCTCTCATGAATAGGGATGGTTTTTTCAAAGATCATGTAAAAATAGTGACATACTCGTCTTCGTTGTTTAGATTTCTTTTATTGTGTTTGATATCTATCTTATACATCCATGATATTCTTCGTGACTTGGTTGATTATAGTTAGTGAATGTTCTAACAGAGCAGAGTTGGACCTGTGGAGTGGTTAAAACCCTACACAGATGAGACAATAATTGAGCTTGGACAAAAGGGAGTCAAAAGACTGCTGGCAGTCCCTATAAGGTAATTGTTTGTCGTCTTTTCTTTTCCCCACTGTTAGCTGAATTTTAGCTGCATCCTCTCTCGCTCACTCTCTCACTCTCTTGCTCAATCTCAGGCACACAAACATGTGTGCATACTATCATATATATGAATTATGGAACTTAGTTCTGTGATTAAATGTTGATGAATGATCCACAGCTTTGTCAGCGAGCATATTGAAACTCTAGAAGAAATCGATGTTGAGTACAAAGAATTGGCTCTGAAATCTGGTATAGAGGTTTGGGGGCGTGTTCCCGCACTAGGATGTGAAGCCACCTTCATTTCAGATTTGGCAGATGCGGTGATTGAGAGCTTGCCATATGTTGGAGCTATGGCAGTCTCACATCTTGAAGCTCGACAGGTAAACTCTCTCCTGAACAATGTTGTCTTGTGTGTGCCCTCTGTGTGCTTGAGTCCGTGGGTGGGTGGCATAGAGAAGCTAGCTTATAGTACCATTTTTCATTTGTTTGTCCCTGCTGTTTTCCGTATTGAAAACCCATCTTGGTAGGTTCTTACTATAGTTTTCTACTTTGTGCTTGTCTTTGGATGGTGTTTCGGGTCTTTTATTGCAGTCTTTAGTTCCACTTGGGAGTGTGGAAGAGTTGTTAGCGACATATGATTCACAGCGTAGGGAGCTACCAGCACCTGTGACTGTTTGGGAATGGGGTTGGACAAAAAGTGCCGAGACTTGGAATGGAAGAGCGGCTATGTTGGCAGTGGTGGTTCTACTGGTCCTAGAAGTCACCACCGGGGAGGGGTTCTTGCACCAATGGGGCATATTACCCTTACATCGCTAAATCTAACCTCTTTATCTCTCTCGCTTCCTCCTCCCTTGCCCTCTTTCTTCTTTCTCTTCCTCTTTTACTTAAATGTACCTATTCATAAGATTGAGCCTCCTTTTTTCTTTCTTCCCATGCACGTTGGAAGTTACATACTGATGCATTTGAGTCCCCACTTACACGTTCGGATTTGAGCTGTCCAGGTGCAGCACTTTGTGGGGGAAAAGTGGAAAACTTGTATGATATATAAAGCGTATGTAATTCGTATGCTCACAGCCTCGCACGATGGTCCATGAATTTACATGTAAAGTTTTAAGCTCTACTTTGAATGTTGATTTTCTTGGTGTTGAACTTTCGTTGTTCAACGGCAAGAAGCTATTGTAATTCAAATATTCAAAGCAATTTGTGTACTTATGCAGATGATTACTGGTCGAGTTCAATTTGGCCAATTCGGTCATGCGTTTCAATATCTTAACCATTTTAGTTATTTCCATCTAGTTTAGACGCCAATGCGCGAACATTCTACGAGTTAATGTGCCCACATTGCATGTGATTAGACTCGGATTCTCTCCATTCCTCTTTTTATCCCCTTTTATCTCCTCCTCTATAAAAAATTAATATAAAATGTTGACGTGACTTAACCGTAACCGTTCAAATAAAAGGGGAGGGAAGGGGAGGGAAGGGGAGGGAAAAAAAAAGGGGAGAGAATCCATCTCCGCATAATATATTGACATCAAACTGGTCAAAATCGAAACACAAGGACTAAAAATTCTAAGTAAAGAATCGAGAAAAATGACATCTATTGAGTGCAAATTCTCGGATTTTATTTGCAGATTTTCATAACATAAGAATTATAATAGATTTAACCTTAAAACTAACATTAGACTCGTGCAACCCATTAATAAAGAACCCAAATTTTATACTAACGGTATTCTAAATTAATTTAAGTACAAAGAAGGTGATTCAAACTAAGTACGAAGAAGAAGAAGATTCAAATTTCAGTTGTATAATAAAATAAATATATTTTGAAATGACCATATAAAAGTAACATATTCAGAATTATCAGAAACAGCCACAAAGTAGTAACTGAGCGGGAGAGTTCATTGCATGTCCAGTGTTTTGAACTGTGGTGGAGCCCACAGACGAAAGAATCCGGTGGACCATACCCGTAAACACAAACTCTTGTGGGGGGCCACTGAACAGTGACGTCATTTCGAGATGGCGTGTCTTTTGGCGCGCGTGAATCAAAAGCTATCAGAGATGCTTCTTTTGTCTCCTTCTGGTTCTTGTATCCTCTTCCCGCGTGGACTTCACGTGCTTGGCCAAGACGGGACGCAAAAAGAAGAAACGTCTCGATGAGTCACTCAGTCACTGATAAATGCTCCCTCTCTCTCTCTCTCTCTCTCTCTCTCTCCTGTCTTTCAACTGAGGAACAGCAAGTAAACCGCTCAAACCTTCTCTACAAAAACACAGAGGTCTCACCGGCGGTGTGTGCACTGCTCCGACGTCGTTTTGCTGGCCGGACTCCGGTTTGATCCATCTCCTTTCTTATATACCCGATGCTTTCTGTTTCAAATATTTGTTTGTATGCTTTTCTCAGACATCAATTATTATTCATTATGCTTGCTTGTGGAAATTGCACAATTATCCTTTGATTGCTTCGTGGAAAACGAGGTTAGTGCTTGGAAACAAGAAAAAAGCAAAACAAATTTAGAAACTTTAAACAAGAACGATGCTAGGCAGCTCAATGAACCATCTTGGGTGCTTAATTAGTAAACCCATGTGAGAATACGAATGTAAATCGCCCTCGAACCGCGGAGGACATGGAGTTCTCTGCAATTGTTTAGCTTAGTGAGAAGTCCATGAATTGAGAGTGGAACATCATGGTAAAATTTGTGTTATTGGGATGTTTTGTTGGTTTTGATTTGGTGTAGATGTGTGTTGTTTGGAAACAGGTATGGTTTCGTGTGTTTGGTAGCTTATATGTGCGTGTTACGGTTTTTTATTTGATTAAATTTTGAATTCCCAGCTCTTCCTTAAAGTAAAAGCTGTGTTCTTGGGTGAATTGCGAGCTCTAAACTTGAAGTTCATGAATTCAATGTGTAACAGTAAAGTAAAAGTTGCGTTCTAGGAATGTTTTATGGTTTTTAATTTGGTATAGCATGTGTGTTGTTTGGAAACAGGAATAGTTTTCGTGTGTTAGGTAGTTTAATCGTGCATGTTTCGCTTTTGGACTGGGATAAATTTTGAATTTTCTGAGATCCTTACCCCTTGTTCAACTCTTACTGCACATGTAAAACCGAGGATTTAAGGCAGTAAGTCTCATTGTACATGTCAGTTCCTGGTATACATGAGTTTTATCATTTTTGGCTCGTTTGATGCCTGGGATTGGATTGGAATGGATAACACATATAATTGAACATATAGGTGAATCAATTTACGTTTTGAGGAGATTATGAGGAATGAAGGAAAGTTCTGCCGAATATTATCGCCATTTTGTAGGGATTGGAAGGGATAAGTTTCCTTCAACATACTCTGAATACAATGAGTTTCCAATCCAATCCAATCATGGGCACCAAACGAGCCCTTCCTCTTGTTGTCTTAACCAAACAAAAGTTTCAAAACAGAAGAAAGAAGGGAAAGAAAAAACAAAAGAAAATGTGCTTGTGAAGAACAAAGAAAGATTGAATATATAAAAAGTAGAAAAAAGCGGAAAAGAAGTCTCGGTTTTAACTATTCCAAACTGATTTTTTTTCAACTGTTTAACGTGTTTAGCAAATGAATACCCCATGTTTGACAATGTTAGTACATTTTTTGCGTGCGACAGTTCTCGTAAGAGTGATTACCATTTCACTGTAGACTTGGAATCTGTCGTTTTCCCCTCATCTATCATTGTATTGCTACTCATAAGTGTTTATTTGAGTCATCTCTTTTTGTTTGGTTAACTGGATTTTATTCCTTTCTGCAGGTTTTTGTGTGTTGAAAATGTGAGTCAACATAGTGGAAGAAATAGTGAGTGTGGAATTGCAGCAAGATTTCATTGTGAAACGTTAAATGTCAGGGACCAAAGCGCTTTTAACATACAAGCGAAAGCGGCGATCAAGAAAAGCTCTTGAAAAGGGACATGATTGCCATAATTCACTTTTTGTGGCTCTGAGTGACACTTCTCTAAGTAGAGAAGACTTGCAACTTCGTTTAATTGATAATAGTGCACCAGAAGACTATGACAGAAATGATTCTTCAATACCTGAGCCAATACGAAAATCAAGCAGACTGGAGAGTCTCGATGAGGGTCTCTCCCTTCACAAGAAAGTTGGCTCGTCCTCAAATACTAATAGTGAAGCATTGGTTGACGATGATAATGCTGGAGGGAAGTTAGTTTCCGGGTTGATGGGGAATGCTACTGAAATGACCGCTGATTTTGTCAGGCCGAGATCATCATCATTTGAAAAAAAAGGCACCTCTAAATGTGATGGTATTTTGCTAAGATTGAATGCATCAAACTTGGAAGTGACTGATCCATTCTCTAAAATTAAGGCGGATAACTTATGCTGCGATTCAGCTGTGCAGACCAAGTCGACTGCCCCATTAATTACTTTCTGCCGAAGGAAAAAAAGAATAAAGGATATAGATAAGTCTGATATACAAAGCAAATCTGTGCCTGCAGAAAATGATTGCTCATTGGTAACCAAATTGTGTAATTGTGTTTGTGCTAGTGCCGCTTCGTGCGAAGAAACTTCCCCTGAAAAGTGCTCCATAGATCATGAGACAGATTTGAAGCACTCCAGAGACAAAGCTCAAGTTTTGTCAAGTAATGATCTTAAAGCGACAGAACTCCCTTGTGTAGGCCAATCACTTCCTTTTTTGCACCTGTCCGTTATCCCAACCAGTAAGACTTCATTAATTTCTAGGCATGCATTATTGAACCAGTTACATTATTTTAACTGACAATACATTCTTACTAGCAGATTCATGTGGCACCGACTGCAATTTTGACTTAAACTTGAGTCCTCAACAGCAACCTAATATTGCTGCGCCAAAAACTACGGGGGGCTCCTTGGATTCTACTAGCCGAAATCATGCCGCTGTATTACATGAACTGTCTCCTCCACAAATGCCGGCTGTGAGAAATGAAAGAGTAGAAACTCGAGCTTCACAATTACACAGAGATGCATTTGAATTTTTAGAAGTTGGTGCCTGCTGCAAAGATAATGATGATAAAGTTGGTCCTCTGCTTTCCGAGGAATTTACTTCCAAAAACAAATGTCTGCCGGTAGGTTTTGTAAGTCTTGCTTTTTGGATATTTGGGGATAATTTGGCTGCCAAATAATTTTATTTATATTTTCATCTCCAGCTGTTTCCAGAAGAAAAAACCAGTGACATTTTTTGCCCGGTGATAACACAGCCTGAGGTACCTGCTTCTATAGCTTCAGAACGGAGAAAAGTTCTTCAGTTGGGAGGCCAGAATAATCAACCAAAACAAGGATCTCCTATATTTTTGGGTCTATCCTTAACCGAAAAACCTGTACTTGCAGGATGTGCTGCCAATACCTGCTTCAATACATCTCCCTTCTTGAACTCCATCATTGGAACAAGAGAATTCATCCGAGATGCAGCGCTCCAATCTTCCTCAAGCCATTTATCATCAGTTTTGAAACACAAGATTATGCATGACAGTGTTGTAAGCCAAGCAAGAGCTTTGAATGAAAGGGGTAGTTTTCATGACAATTATATGCCATATAATACCATGTGGTCTGAAGAAGAGTTGGATTTTCTATGGATGGGCGTGAGGAGATATGGACGGGACAATTGGAATGCTATGTTAAGGGATCCAAGGTTGCACTTCTCACCATGGAGGGTGGCAAGGGACTTAGCTGAGAGGTGGGAAGAGGAACAGTCAAAACTTTTTAGTGGTTTATGTGTTCCACAATTAGGATGCAACTACTTCTCGGGTCCAAAAAGAAGAATATGGAAAGAAAATACAACAGACATAACCCAAGTTTCACTTGGCGATGTTGATGCTCATAGAGGAGGTAATGCCTCGAGGAGGCCACTATTCAAGTCGGCTTATATTTGCAACAATGGCAATGGAAATCCCCGGAGGCCTCTTGGTTACACAAAAAGGACATCTCGTTTTGAAATTGGAAGGGACAATTATGAAGATGATGAATTTAGTGTTCCAAATAGAAGTAGCAGTATTCGAAGGGGCAAGTTATTATCGACTGACGGCCCCACAACTTGTGTTGGAGCAAAGGGAAATTTACCCCACTGGCTCAGAGAAGCTGTTGCTTCTCCACCGCCAACTGTGCCTTCAACTGTTTCATCAATTGCTCATTCAGATAGGTTGAATCTCACCCTTCTCGGATTTGATCCTCGGGGATCACATTTTGCGCCAAGAAATGAAATGCAGTCTACTTGTGGTGGTTTAATAGTAAATGACTCACAGCCATTAAGTACTGCTCCTCTTTTCAACTACTCATCGGTAGGACTAGGGATGGGGAAAAGAAGGGATTATTCTCGTCACGCGGGTAAACAAGACGACGTAATTATTATAGACAGCGATGGTTCTTCTGAAGAGACTATATCTGATGATTGTAGTGCAAGGCTGTAGCTTCAAGGTAGCTTGGCAGGTGGAATTCTGTTTGTATATACGGGAAGCTGTACAAAGGTGGTGTACACAGTTTGTTATTCAGGCAATTTGTAAATGCAAGGAATAAAAGGGAACTTGGAAGTCTAAAACAGACTGATGAATGGATTGGTGGTTTATGCTTATAAGCGAATTGTTCTCATAAGTCAGCTGCGAATTTTGTGAGGAAGTCAGCTGATTATGCACTGAAATAAGCTGTCATTCCCGTAACGTGGCACCAGGACCTACTGTATAAATAAAACATTCTCAACCTGTAGATGATGATGACGGAACCTAGTACTGTGTATTGTGACATGTCTGATGTTCTATAAGATCAACTTTTCCAAGCTGGAAGAGGGTGGTACTTTCCGATGGCACAGGATATCAACTAGCTAAGGATATATTTGATGGTAAGGTTTCAAGAAAAGAATTCTTCGAATTGCAGATAAAACTTATCCCGGTGAGGTTCTGCCTTGTGCGTGTGTGTGCTTGTCTGTGTTTTCTTTTGTTTTTGTTTTTGTTTTTATTTTTATTTTGGTGTTTCTTGGGTCAAATATACCATCAGTAGGAACTACTTTAAGTTTGCAATTTGTGTCTTGTTTGGAATTCTAATCTATAAAATCTCTTTTGAATTGTGTATTTCTGATTGCAATAGTTCATGGTCGAATCAAATACGGATGATGATGAGGAACATTACAAGGAAGTCGCTCCCCGAGACCATGAGAAAGACTATGGAGAAGAAGAGAAGGTAGTTTAACAAGTTCATGTATTTCCTGGTTTGCATTCTTTTGTTTTGAAGATTTGGCTCCTAAATTCGTTCATTGCTTCGTAATACATCAATGTTGAATCGTACTGATTCTAATTTAATACGAGGGTTATTGTCCCAGCAGTGCAAAAAATTATGCTCTATGTATACAAGTAGACATACCAATGTTGAATTGCATGCATTAATTTAATACTGAAAATTTGCAGCAGGATTGCAACTAATGGTACAGAAAACGGAGTTAGGAAACCAGAGAAGCTATATTTCTTCGGTGACTAGAAGAAGCTGAAAATAACTCTTTCGATTTGCATAGTCGCATATATTTTCTCTGCTGATGGTTGTGATTTTCTAATGATGTACTGAAGGGTCATTTGCTTAGTTCGAGTCTCGACCGTTGACTTTCGTTGTTTATGTATTTTTGAAATACTTGGTATAATTGATTATGGCAACAGAGGCTTGATGGTAACCGTTGTCAAAATCCATTTAAAACATTTTCAAGGCTGAGATTGGAAACCAAGAATGGTTAGATTTATGAGTTTAACTACAAGTTTTTTTGACATATAGAGGAATGAAACGAAAAAATATGTAGTGTTCCTCGGACAGATAAACCAAAGTTTATTTCTTTCAAGAGTAGAGTTATTGCATATCACAATATTTCTTCGATGTTATTGCTTCCCTGTTAGAATCAAGGCTAGCAATGCTATCAACAGAAGCTGCCTCATCAGTACTAAAAGGATTTCGCCCATACCCATAACCATTACAGATGATTTTTGATCTCAGAAAGTGATATATTTTCGTAGGTATAGTCCTCCATGTCATGGGCAGGAGGAGGAGGAGCAAGAGAAGTGCTTGCACTTGTCCCCAACTCCTTGAGCTGCTTGACGGCGTCTGCGCTTTCCTGCAACTCCAGTGCGCACTCAAGTTCCACCTGCACTTCACCCATCGTGGGCCGTTCAGCTCCTGTCCGACGCTGGCATCTCACGGTGATGTTCATAAATTTTTTCAAACAATCTGGAGCTACTTTTCCCATCAGAAATGGATCAATCATAGCAGGGAAAGTCCATACCCTTTTCCCACGTTCAAATCTCTCTCTTGAAACAGATTTGGCACACAACACTTCAAGTAACACCACTCCAAATGAGAAGACATCCGATTTTTCGGTAAGTTGCTCGGACATTGCATACTCTGGATCAAGATACCCGACTGTACCAGACACCCGCGAGTTTAATTTGATTAATACATTTGACAAGACAGGAGGACCCATCTTGGACAACTCGAAGCCGGAAAGCTTGGGCACCAAGTTTTGGTCCAATAGAACGTTGGAGCATTTCACATCTCGATGGATGACAGCATGCTTAATCCCTGCGTGGAGGTAGTGTATTGCGCGCGCCGCCCCAATACAAATTTTCAGCCTTTGCTTCCAAGTCAAGGGAAAGGGATGTTTATTTTTAATATTGGAAGGATCAAAGAGGTAATCAGAGAGGGAACCGTTGGGCATGTAGTCGTAGACAAAGATACGCTCTCCATTCGTTTGGCAGAATCCGATGAGAGAGATGATGTTGGGGTGGCGCAGCTGGCATAGTAGCAGTACCTTCTCCCTGAACGCACACATTCCCTCTATTGAATCTTCGGAAAAGCGCTTGATTGCAACGTCTTTCCCGTCCTCATCCCCATGGACCTTAATACGCCCTTTGTATACTGTGCTATAGCCACCCTTATCAATACATAAGGTTTGGTCGAAACATTGAGTTGCTGCAGTGATCTCAGCAAGTGTAAAACGACGGCATAATTCTTCTGGAAACGCCCAATCATTTTGTTTCTTCTTCTCTTTTTGTTTCTTCTTCCGAAGAGAGAAGAAACGAGAGATAGACTGCGCAGTTCGCCCCATCACCATGCATCAAAGACATGGACTCACAAAGTGATCTTCCTCATCCTCTTACATTATGTAGATTCGAGAGAGAGGGTCCAAAATTATTAACCAGGTCCAAAGACCAAGACTTCACGTTACAGAAAGTCAACTGAATCTTTTTACGATATGATTTTTCCGATAAATCCAACAAGCGTGAGCTGTGCTCATACCCCACTTTCCGCGGATAAGACCACTTTCACTTTATGTAATTGAATTTACTTTGTAATGTATTTCACGGATCCAACCGTTTATCTTTTAAGTCTTTCCTCATAGACTAATGCTACTAAATTTCATACAAATCCAAAACCATATGATAATCAGATTATTTTTAGGCGTATATGATGGTCAGAAAAAATAACTTCATTCAAATCCAAAACCATATAATAATGAAATTATTTTTAGGCATAGATGACGGTAAAAAAATAATAATTATTTTAACGTTTCCTTGCAAAACCTTAAATAGGTTTAGCAAGAATGATCTATTTAATGAATTAAAATATAAACTATTCGTATCTTTAAATAAAGTTACAAAGTGTGAGTGAAAATATGATAGCCATTTTGTGTGTTGTGCACTTGTGTATGAATTGATGAATGTTGTGTTATTTTTTTCTCAGCCGTTCCAATGCTCCTGTTTATGGGAAAATAGATAATGATGGGAAAACATAATGATGACTCTTTTTCCTTTTGCTTTCCCTTTTTCCTTCTTTTTCCCTTGCTTCTTTCGGTGCCACCATCACCCTTCTTTCTTTCCCTTCTCCTTTTCCGTCATTTACTCTGAATTGGAAAATAATTGAAGGGATGTGCGGATATTACATGATCATAGAATAGGCCCACATTCATATCAAATAATTTCATGTTACACACGCCAGATTGGCAAACTCATCATTTTCCTAACCAGGAAAAATGATCATTTCCGAATGTCTTCCATTTAATCCTCATATTCCACAAATTTGAATTTTTGAAATTTGATCCAATGACAACAAATAGAGAGTCCCATTAAAAATTTTAATAACTTTAGCAGTTGAATCAAATGCCAACACCCCAATACATGATTTTTTCTCTACCTTCACCTTCCTACGAGTTCCTCAAAGTATACCAAATTCACTCCAATACAGCAATTAGCTCTATGGACATTTGGTTTTCTTGTGTATGACATTCGAAAACAACCTTAATTTACATATAGAGGAATATATGAAACCAAAAAAATCTGCAGCGTTCCTTGGGTAGAATCAAGGCTAGCAATACTATCAACAGAAGCTGCCTCATCGGTACTAAATGATTCTCGCAAATACCTATTACTATCAATACTAAATGTAGCAATACTATCAACAGAAAGTTTCATTGATCTCAGAAAATGATAAATTTTCGTAGGTATAGTCCTCCATGTCATGGGCAGGAAGAGGAGCAAGAGATGTGCTTGCACCTGTCCCCAACTCCTTGAGCTGCTTGACGGCGTCTGCGCTTTCCTGCAACTCCAGTGCGCACTCAAGTTCCACCTGCACTTCACCCATCGTGGGCCGTTCAGCTCCTGTCCAACGCTGGCATCTCACGGCGATGTTCATAAATTTTTTCAAACAATCTGGAGCTACTTTTCCCATCAGAAATGGATCAATCATAGCAGGGAAAGTCTCACCCCTTTCCCCACATTCAAGTATCTCTCTTGAAACAGATTTGGCACACAACACTTCAAGTAACACCATTCCAAATGAGAAGACATCAAATTTTTCGGTAAGTTGCCTGGACATTGCATACACTGGATCATTGATTAATACATTTGACAAGACAGGAGGACCCATCTTGGACAACGCGAAGCCGGAAAGCTTGGGCACCAAGTTTTGGTCTAATAGAACGTTGGAGCATTTCACGTTTCGATGGATGACAGCATGCTTAATCCCTGCGTGGAGGTAGTGTATTGCGCGCGCCGCCCCAATACAAATTTTCAGCCTTTGCTTCCAAGTCAAGGGAAAGGGATCTTTATTTTTAATATTGGAAGGATCAAAGAGGTAATCAGAGAGGGTACCGTTGGGCACGTAGTCGTAGACAATGATACACTCTCCATTTTCTTGGCAGAATCCGATGAGAGAGATGAGGTTGGGATGGCGGAGCTGGCATAGTAGCTGTACCTCCGCCCTGAACGCACCCATTCCCGCTTTGGATAAGCGCTTGATTGCAACGTCTTTCCCGTCCTCATCCCCATGGACCTTAATACGCCCTTTGTATGCTGTGCTAAAGTCACCCGTATCAATACGTAAGGTTTGGTCGAAACATTGAGTTGCTGCACTGATCTCAGCAAGTGTAAAACGACGGCATAATTCTTCTGGAAACGCCCAATCTTTTTGTTTCTTCTTCTCTTTTTGTTTCTTCTTCCGAAGAGAGAAGAAACGAGAGACAGACTGTGCGGTTCGCTCCATCACCATGCATCAAAGACATGGACTCACAAAGTGATCTTCCTCATCCTCTTACATTATGTAGATTCGAGAGAGAGCGTCCAAAATTATTAACCAGGTCCAAAGACCAACACTTCACATTACAGAAAGTCAACTGAATCTTTTTACGATATGATTTTTCCGATAAATCCAACAAGCGTGAGCTGTGCTCATACCCCACTTTCCGCGGATAAGACCACTTTCACTTTATGTAATTGAATTAACCGAACGGCGCTGTGTAGAAACCCGGCCCACATTCACACAAACATATATACGGTATACCTACTTAGACCCAGTGGCGATGACTCGGTGTCATAAGTTAATCGTGCATTGTTGTGTTTTAAATTTCTTACCATACTCCATTATTAATTATTTTATAGGATTCATTTTGTAATGTATTTCAAGGATCCAACCGTTTATCTTTTAAGTCTTTCTTTATAAACCAATGCTACCAAATTTCATACAAATCCAAAACCATATGATAATCAGATTATTTTTAGGCGTATATGATGGTCAGAAAAAATAATTTCATTCAAATCCAAAACCATATAATAATGAAATTATTTTTAGGCGTAGATGATGGTAAAAAATTAATAATTATTTTAACGTTTCCTTGCAAAACCTTAACTAGGTTTAGCAAGAATGATCTATTTAATGAATTGAAATATAAACTATTCGTATCTTTAAATAAAGTTACAAAGTGTGGGTGAAAATATGATAGCCATTTTGTGTGTTGGGCACTTGTGTATGAATTGATGAATGTTGTGTTGTTTTTTTCTCAGCCGTTCCAATGCTCCTGTTTATGGGTAAATAGGTAATGATGGGAAAACATAATGATGACTCTTTTTCCTTTTGCTTTCCCTTTTTCCTTCTTTTTCCCTTGCTTCTTTCGGTGCCACCATCACCCTTCTTTCTTTCCCTTCTCCTTTTCCGTCATTTACTCTGAATTGGAAAATAATTGAAGGGATGTGCGGATATTACATGATCATAGAATAGGCCCACATTCATATTAAATAATTTCATGTCACACACGCCAGATTGGCAAACTCATCATTTTCCTAACCAGGAAAAATGATCATTTCCGAATCTCTTCCATTTAATCCTCATATTCCACAAATTTGAATTTTTGAAATTTGATCCAATAGCAACAAATAGAGAGTCCCATTAAAAATTTTAATAACTTTAGCCATTGAATCAAATGCTAACACTCCAATACATGATTTTTTCTCTACCTTCACCTTCCTACGAGTTCCTCAAAGTATACCAAATTCACTCCAATACAGCAATTAGCTCTATGGACATTTGGTTTTCTTGTGTATGACATTCGAAAACAACCTTAATTTGCATATAGAGGAATATATGAAACCAAAAAAATCTGCAGCGTTCCTTGGGTAGATATAAGCAAAGTTTATTTCTTTCAAGAGTAGTATAATTGCATATCACAATATTTATTCTAAGTCATTGCTTCCCTGTTAGGATCAAAGCTAGCAATACCATCAACATAAGCTGCCAGATGAGTACTAAATGAATCTCACGGCCACTCCCACAAATATATTATATGGTAAATGTTTGTTGAACTCAGAAAATGATATAACTTGGTAGGTATAGTCCTCCATGTCATTGGCCACATCAGGAGGACGAGGAGCAAGAGAACTGCTTGCAGTTGTCCCAAACTCCTTAACCAAAAAGTTCTTCCCGAAAAGTTCTTCGAATTGCAGATAAAACTTATCCCGGTGAGGTTCTGCCTTGTGTGTGTGCGCGCTTGTCTGTGTTTTCTTTTTGTTTTTGTTTTTATTTTTATTTTGGTGTTTCTTGGGTCAAATATACCATCAGTAGGAACTACTTTAAGCGTGCAATTTGTTACTTGTTTGGAATTCTGATCTATAAAATCGCTTTTGAATAGTGTATTTCTGATTGCAATAGTTCATGGTCGAATCAAATACGGATGATGATGAGGAACATGACAAGGAAGCCGCTCCCCGAGACTATAGGAAAGACTATGGAGAAGAAGAGAAGGTAATTTAACAAGTTCATGTATTTCTGATTGCAATAGTTCATGGTCGAATCAAATACGGATGCTGAATTGCATGCATTAATTTAATACTGAAAATTTGCAGCAGGATTGCAACTAATGCTACAGAAAACGGAGTTAGGAAACCAGAGAAGCTATATTTCTTCGGTGACTAGAAGAAGCTGAAAATAACTCTTTCGATTTGCATAGTCGCATATATTTTCTCAGCTGATGGTTGTGATTTTCTAATGATGTACTGAAGGGTCATTTGCTTAGTTCGAATCTCGACCGTTGACTTTCGTTGTTTATGTATTTTGAAATACTTGGTATAATTGATTATGGCAACAGAGCCTTGATGGTAACCATTGTCAAAATCCATATAAAACATTTTCATGGCTGAGACTGGAAACCAAGAATGGTTAGATTTATGAGTTTAACTACAAGTTTTTTTGACATTGTTCTCGTCTAACTTTCAACGAAGCTGGTAGTTTATTCTTCCAACATGATTTTTTCTTTACCTTCACCAACCTCCGAGGGCCTCGAAGTAGACCAAGTTCACTCCGATACGTGCAATTAGCTCCTACGTACATTTGTTTTTCCCGTGTATGACATGCGAAAACTACATTTAATTTGCATATAGAGGAATGAAACCAAAAAATCAGTAGCGTTCCTCGGATAGATAAGCCAAAGTTTATTTCTGTCAAGAGTACGGTTATTGCATATCACAATGTTTCTTCTATGTTATTGCTTCCCTGTTAGAATCAAGGCTAGCAATACTATCAACAGAAGCTGCCTCATCAGTACTAAATGATTCTCGCAAATACCTATTACAGAAAGTTTCATTGATCTCAGAAAATGATATATTTTCGTAGGTATAGTCCTCCATGTCATGGGCAGGAAGAGGAGCAAGAGATGTGCTTGCACCTGTCCCCAACTCCTTGAGCTGCTTGACGGCGTCTGCGCTTTCCTGCAACTCCAGTGCGCACTCAAGTTCCACCTGCACTTCACCCATCGTGGGCCGTTCAGCTCCTGTCCAACGCTGGCATCTCACGGTGATGTTCATAAATTTTTTCAAACAATCTGGAGCTACTTTTCCCATCAGAAATGGATCAATCATAGCAGGGAAGGTCTCACCCCTTTCCCCACATTCAAGTATCTCTCTTGAAACAGATTTGGCACACAACACTTCAAGTAACACCATTCCAAATGAGAAGACATCAGATTTTTCGGTAAGTTGCCCGGACAATGCATACTCTGGATCAAGATAGCCTATTGTACCAGACACCCGCGAGTTTAATTTGATTAGTACATTTGACAAGACAGGAGGACCCATCTTGGACAACGCGAAGCCGGAAAGCTTGGGCACCAAGTTTTGGTCCAATAGAACGAGGGAGCATTTCACGTCTCGATGGATGACAGCATGCTTAACCCCTGCGTGGAGGTAGTGTATTGCGCGCGCCACCCCTATACAAATTTTCAGCCTTTGCTTCCAAGTCAAGGGAAAGGGATCTTTATTTTTAATATTGGCGGGATGAAAGAGGTAATCAGAGAGGGTACCGTTGGGCATGTAGTCGTAGACAATCATACACTCTCCATTTTCTTGGCAGAATCCGATGAGAGAGATGAGGTTGGGGTGGCGGAGCTGGCATAGTAGCTGTACCTCCGCCCTGAACTGACTCACTCCATGTCTTGAATATTTGGAAAAGCACTTGATTGCAACGACGTCTATCCTGCCCTCATCCCCGTCGACCTTAATACGCCCTTTGAATACTGTGCCAAATCCACCCTTACCAATACATAAGGTTTGGTCGAAACATTGAGTTGCTGCGCTGATCTCAGCAAGTGTAAAACGATGGCATAATTCTTCTGGAAACGCCCAATCATTTTGTTTCTTCTTCTCTTTTCGTTTCTTCTTCCGAAGAGAGAAGAAACGAGAGACAGACTGCGCAGTACGTTCCATCACTATGTATCTAAGACATGGACTCACAAAGCGATCATCTTCATCCTCTTACATCATGTAGATTCGAGAGAGAGGGTCCAAAATTATTAACCGGGTCTAGCTGCGTCAGGACTCAAAAGTCCTCCAAAATCCGTTTACGCTATGATTTTTCCGATAAATTCAACAATTGTGAGCTGTAATCATACCCCACTTTCCGCGGATAAGACCACATTCACTTACGTAATTGAATTGAAATAATTGAAAGCCACTGTGGCCCACATTCACACAAACGTATATACGACATATGGTATACCTACTTAGATCTGCTGTCGGTGACTCGATGTCATAAGTTAATCACGCATTGTCTTGTGTTTTATTTTTATCACTACAATGCCTAATTATTTATTTTATAGAAACCACTTCGTAATATATTTTAACGATGTAACTATTTATCTTTTATGTCTTCCTTCATAGATGAATACAACCAAATTTCATCCAAATTCAAAATTGTATGACCGTCGGATTTTTTTATAGGCGTATATGATGGTAAAATTAAATGATAGTTATTTTAGTATTTTTTTCACTTACATAACCTTTTTCGTCTATTTTCTTAACTACAAATGATTTTTTTTTTTTTTTGCAAGGATGATCACTGAATGATGAATTGAAATATAATAAGTTCGGATCTTAAAAAAAAAATATTACAGGGCATCCTATAAAATAATTGAAGGGTTGTGTGGATATTATATGAATGATATGATAGCCCCACATTCACATCAAGATATTTCCAGTAACGCACGCCAGATTGACCTACTCACCACCTTCCCAACAAGAGGAGAGAAACTTTCAAGCTATCCTCTTGTGACGAGAGGGACATACACAAACAAACATAAACTCGGGATATATACTGGATGAGATTTGGACGGCGGTAAATATCAAAATAATTGTGAGTTGGTTATACAGATCACAATACATAGCTAGATTGGTTATGTTCTTTTAGTAGATAAGAAAGAAAGAAAAAACAGAAAAAGTTTCTTCTTCTTTTTTTGTATGTAAGATTAACCTTTGTTCTGCTGTAATTTGAGGATCAGGAAGTAGCTAGCAAGCACAAAGCATGGCAGAGTTTGTGGTATCATTTGTTGTTGAGAGACTTGGGGACCTGCTGATCGAGAAAGCCACCTTCTTACATGGGGTCAAGCAAAACGTAGAGCAGATCCGCGTCGAACTAAGGCGGATGCAATGCTTCTTGAAAGATGCCGATAAGAGGCAAGACGAAGATGATAGCATTCGAAATTGGGTTTCCGAGATTAGAGAAGTTGCTTACGATGCCGAGGATGTCATTGCGACTTTTACCATCAAAATTGCAACACCAATTTCCAATCCACTAAAAAGGTACGCTTGTTTTTTCGACCAAGCTTCAAACCTTAATCAAGTTGGGTCTGAGATTGAGGCCATCAACGATAGAATCTCTGACCTTACTAGAAGTACGCAAACTTACGGCTTGAGTGTTGTAAGAGATCATCAGGGCTCGTCGAGTATTGCGTTTGAGATGCAAAGACAATTGAGGTGGTCTTATTCCCATGTTATTGACGACCATATCGTTGGTTTACAAGGAAACATAAACGAACTAGTGGCGGAGCTCATGAATGAAGAAAAACACGGTCGAGTTGTGTCCATTTGTGGGATGGGCGGTCTGGGAAAGACCACTCTCGCCAAGGAAGTTTACCGCAATGATCGTGTTAGGCGTTATTTTGAGGGTTCTGCGTGGGCTTATATATCTCAACAATGCAAACCAAGAGATGTTTGGGAAGGCATTCTGATTAAACTAACCTCTCCGTCGAAAGAGGAGAGGGATCATATTTTGAAATTGAGAGACGAAGAGCTTGCAAAGAAGCTTTATCAAGTTCAAATGGAGAAGAAATATTTGGTGGTTCTTGATGACATTTGGTCGATTGAGGCCTGGAAAATTCTAAGTCCTGCCTTCCCATCGTCGGGAAAAGGGTGCAGCAGAATATTGCTTACAACTCGTAATAAAGATTTAGCTTCCTTTGTAGACCGAAGCGGTCTTCATGAACCGAGGAATTTAACTGAAGAAGAGAGTTGGGAGTTGCTTCAGAAGAAGGCATTTCCAAGAAATGGTGATCCAGGTAGTTTACCATTCCAATTTCTTAAGCATGCATCCGGATTTTGTATCATTATGCATTTCCTTAATATATAAATAGTACTCAAGCGCTAACTAGTTAGAAACTTAATACGTCGCTAACCAATAAATTAATAACTCTATTCTTGCAAGATATATTTGAAGTTTGTCGTTAAAATCTACCCAACCAAGGATCCATAAATGAATAAAAAGTCATCACTATTTCAGATTTGCAATCATTTCTTCAGTTTCACCGATTATAATTCAAATTCTTTAACTTCTAGATGTGAAGGATTTTAAAACAACGGTGTCTCACTCGAATTATGGGAGCTTAAGTATATTGTTAGTCTGTTAGACTGTTAGTTGTTGATCCCTTTATGTGCATACTCAGTTTCATCACATTTTCTTATAGGATTGGTATCCCCAACTCAGAGTTTCGCTAAATGGTTTTCTTCTTTAACATTGCAGATTTTATCAGGAGCAAGGATAAGGAGCAGTTAGGGAGGGAAATGGTCAAAAAGTGTGCTGGCTTGCCTTTGGCCATTGTTGTGCTTGGAGGACTTTTGGCCACTAAAGAAACAGTGCACGAGTGGGATATTGTCCACAGAGATATTCTTTCGTATCTCAAGCGAGCCAAAGGGGACGAGCAACACTCTACGGTACCTGAGGTTTTGGCTTTGAGCTATCATGATTTGCCATTTCAATTAAAACCCTGTTTCCTTTATTTGAGTCATTTTCCGGAAGATTTTGAAATTCCGCGGAGAAAACTGGTTCAATTATGGATTGCAGAAGGCATTGTATCGCCACATCATGACGCAGAGGGAGATGAAACAATAGAGGATGTTGCAGAACGCTACTTGGGTTACTTGATTAATAGGTGCATGGTTCAAGTTGGAACTCTCGGATCAACCGGAAAAATTAAAACTTGCCGCCTCCATGATCTTATGCGTGACTTGTGCTTGTCGAAAGCAAAGCGGGAAAATTTTCTCCAGAATGTTCACTATTCGGATGAAGGTATGATGGTGGATTCCTCTTCTTCTCGCATGCTTTCTGAAGCAACATCAACTGGTAAAACTCGCAGACTTGCTGTCTTCTTACCTTCACATGTTGATAATCTTATCCCGTCTAAATACAAAGAAGATTCCAGCCTCAGTCTCAGGTCACTTGTATATTTCCATGCAAGCAAGTGTAGATTGGTAAGTTGGCAGCTTACAAAAACAATTTTTGAGTTCAAAATGCTCAAAGTTCTCGATCTTGAAGGTGTCAAGGGACCGTATGAAAAGTTACCTAAAGATATCGGGGACTTGGTTCAGTTGCAGTTTCTAAGCTTGAAGAAAACACATATACAAGCATTGCCATCATCCATCGGTAATTTGATCCACTTGAAAACTTTAAATTTGCAAACCATAAGTAAATTGAGTTGGGATCCGACAGTGCAAATTCCGAATGTGATCTGGAAGATGGAAGGGCTAAGGCATTTATATCTTCCCAAGTGGTGTGGCAATGCAGTTGATAAGCTGCAACTGGGAAATCTCATCAACTTGCAGACACTCGTAAACTTTCCTGCAAACAAATGCGACGTTGAAGTTCTTCGCAAGTTGACCAATCTCAGAAAATTGGTGTTGAATGATCCAAAACATTTCAAAAGTTTGGTGAAAATTTTCGGTCCCCAAAGCAGAACGTTAAGCTGCCTCGAGTCTCTGTCCTTGACGAGTGAGACACTTTCGTTCCCTGATGAGGTTGTTGATGTTAGACAACTAATGTTAAGTTGTCGCCGCCTACAAAAATTGCACGTGGAAGGGCGGATAGAGAAGCTGCCAGAATACCATCAGTTCCCTCCAAACCTTGCCAAGTTAACATTGTGGGGCTCTAAACTTGAGGAAGATCCAATGCCAACACTGGAAAGACTGCCTAACTTGAGGATTTTAAGCGGATGGCAAATGTTCGCTGGGAAGAAAATGGTCTGCTCTAACCAAGGTTTCCCAAAACTCAAGTCTCTACTCCTCCGAGGGTTTTCTAATTTAGAGGATTGGACGATGGAAGAAGGAGCCATGCCTGGTCTTTGTCGTTTGGAAATATCGAGTTGCATCAAACTGAAGACGATTCCGGATTCTCTGAGGTTTGTGAAAACACTTCAGGAATTGGAGATGTATGGATGCCTATTCAAGGTCAACATGGGAAGTGAAGGAGAGGATTTTTACAAAGTGCAACATGTACCGTCCGTTGTAATCCGTAACTGAAGTTGATTAGGTAAGAATTGTTGAAGTTTATTTCTTCACTGGTTATTTCATTGTACCTTTTGTAATGTTCTTGTAGTGAGAACTAATGGCTACTCTTATCTTATGCACTAAAAATGTGTAGTTTTGTCAAAGAGTAATAGTACGGTTGAAGTTTCAATAAATTTATAACGGAAACCGACTCAGGTTTCCGTGGTCTTTCGAGCGGTCAGCGTCAAGCCAAATAAAACAGTTTGGGGCAATCCAAATGGATATTCAATATGAAACTCATATGTTTTGCAGCTCGCAGGCAGCCTTTTCAGTTTTCGGCTTCTGCTATGATTAAGGCAACAGAGACTTGATGGTAACCATTGTCAAATTCCACTTAAAACATTTTCCTGGCCGAGACTGGAAACCAAGAATAATGATATTTATGATTTCAAGTGCAAGTATTTTTTACATTGTTCTCACTCTAACTTTCAACGAAGCCGGTAGTTGATCTTCCGACATGATTTGTTCTCCACCTTCACCTTCCGACGAGGGCCTCAATGATTGTGATTCTCTAATGATGTACTGAAGGGGCATTTGTTTGGTTCAAGTCTCGACCGTTGACTTTGGTTGTTAATGTATTTTTGAAATACTTGGTATAATTGAAATACATCAATGTTGAATTGTCATGATTCTAATGTCCCAGCAGTGCAAAAAATTATGCTCTATGTATACAAGTAGTTATACTAATGTTGAATTGCATGCATTAATTTTCTACTGAAAATTTGCAGCAGGATTGGAACTAATGCTACAGAAAACGGAGTTAGGAAACCAGAGAAGCTATATTTCTTCGGTGACCAAAAGAAGCTGAAAATAACTCTTTCGATCAGCATAGTTGCATATATTTTCTCTGCTGATGGTTGTGATTCTCTAATGATGTACTGAAGGGGCATTTGTTTAGTTCGAGTCTCGACCGTTGACTTTGGTTGTCAATGTATTTTTGAAATACTTGGTATAATTGATTATGGCAACAGAGCCTTGATGGTAACCATTGTCAAAATCCATTCAAAACATTTTCATGGCTGAGACCGGAAACCAAGAATAGTGAGATTTATGAGTTTAAGCACAAGTATTTTTGACATTGTTCTCGCTCTAGCTCTCAACGAAGCTGGTAGTTTATTCTTCCAGCATGATTTTTTCTTTACCTTCACAATATTTCTTCTATGTTATTGCTTCTCTGTTAGGATCAATGCTAGCAATGCTATCAACAGAAGCTGCCTCATCAGTACTAAATGAATCTCACTAATATACAGAAAGTTTCATTGATCTCAGAAAATGATATATTTTCGTAGGTATAGTCCTCCATGTCATGGGCAGGAGGAGGAGCAAGAGAAGTGCTTGCACTTGTCCCCAACTCCTTGAGCTGCTTGACGGCGTCTGCGCTTTCCTGCAACTCCAGTGCGCACTCAAGTTCCACCAGCACTTCACCCATCGTGGGCCGTTCAGCTCCTGTCCGACGCAGGCATCTCACGGTGATGTTCATAAATTTTTTCAAACATTCCGGAGCTACTTTTCCCTTCAGAAATGGATCAATCAGATCCGGGAAGATCTCACCGCTGTCGGGGCGTTCATTTGACAATATTAGAATAGATTTGGCACACAACACTTCTAATAACACCACTCCAAATGAGTAGACATCAGATTTTTCGGTAACGTTGCCGGAATCTAAATACTCTGGATCAACATAGCCAAATGTACCGGTGAGGTTCGAGTTCATTTTGATTAATGCATTTGACAAGGCAGGAGGACCCATCTTGGACAACCCGAAGCTGGAAAGCTTGGGCACCAAGTTATGGTCCAATAGAATGCTGTGGCAACTCACGTTTCGGTTTATGATCGCATGCTTAACCCCTGCGTGGAGGTAGTGTATTGCGCACGCCACCCCAATACAAATTTTCAGCCTTTGCTTCCAAGTCAAGGGAAAGGGATCTTTATTTTTAATATTGGAAGGATGAAAGAGGTAATCAGAGAGTTTACCATTGGGCATGTAGTCGAAGACAATGATACGCTCTCCATTCGCTTCGCAGAATCCGATGAGAGGGATGAGGTTGGGGTGGCGCAGCTGGCAGAGTAGCTGTACCTCCACCCTGAACGCAGGCATTCCCTGTATTGAATCTTCGGAAAAGCGCTTGATTGCAACGACGTCTATCCTGTCCTCATCCCCATCGACCTTAATACGCCCTTTGTATACTGTGCCAAAGGCACCCTTACCAATAAATAAGGTTTGGTCGAAACATTGAGTTGCTGCACTGATCTCAGCAAGTGTAAAACGACGGCATAATTCTTCTGGAAACGCCCAATCATTTTGTTTCTTCTTCTGACGAGAGAAGAAACGAGAGACAGACTGCGCAGTACGCCCCATCACTATGCATCAAAGACATGGACTCACAAAGTGATCCTCCTCATCCTCTTACATTACGTAGATTCCAGAGAGAGGGTCCAAAATTATTAACCAGATCCACCTGCTGGCGGCTGGTTTTTTCTTTGAAATTAATGGCACCGTCAAGACTCAAAAGTCCTCCAAAGACCAACTGAATTTTTTTACGATACGATTTTTTCCGATAAATCCAAACAAGTGTGAGCTGTGCTCAGACCCCACTTTCCATGGATAAGACCACATTCACTTACGTAATTGAATTGAAATAACTGAATGCCGCTGTTTGGAAACCCGGCCCACATTCACACAAACATATATACGACATACGGTACACCTACTTAGACCCGATGTTGGTGACTTAAGTGTCATAAGTTAATCACGCATTATCTTGTGTTTTAATTTTATCACTTTAATGCCTAATTATTTATTTTGTAGAAACTACTTTGTAATGTATTTCAACAATTCAACAATTTATTTTTTATGTCTTCCCTCATTGATCAATGCTATCTAATTTCGCCCAAATTCAAAACCGTAGGTGACACGCCCCTATCCCGATGCCATCAGGACATTAGAATGGTCACGTGCTGGCCAACACCCAAATAGTGACGAAAGCCATTTAATTTAAGCAAATGCTGATAAATAAGTTAAAACGTGCAATAGGGACTAAAAACACAAAAGTAAAGTTCAACTACTAACCATTAAAATTAGGAAAAATACATGACATGTTCAGAGCATACGTCTATTACAGAGTAAAAGCAAAAATTTAAGATAGAGAAGTGCTATTACAATAGATGCCGAAGCAGAGAGAATATAGCACAATATCACTGGTAAGGGAATGCCTCGTAGCTCAGATCGTAATCCTCGTTATAAGGTCCTGAAGGAGGCGCAAAACGAACATGAGTGGACCAAGTTGATATAAATATATAAGAAAACAGTTATCAACGTACTAACCCCCAGGTTTTATGAAAACACATATAACATGATAAAATAGGTTTTTCGAAACCTAGCATGCCGTGCAATGTCTCAAATCATAACTTGTATATATAATAATCACTAGTGAATGTCTGATAACCCCCAGGCCCCATGCCGGCTCTCCGTCTCTGAGCAGACAGTCAGAGGAAAATACACTCCAGGCCCCATGCCGGCTCCCTGTCCCTGTGCTAAATAGCCAAAGGAAACACACTTCAGGCCCTATGCCAACACCAAACCGTCGCTCGAGACGGACCGGAATCTCATGATTAAGGCAACAGAGCCTTGATGGTAACCATTGTCAAATTCCACTTGAAACATTTTCCTGGCTGAGACTGGAAACCAAGAATAATGAGATTTATGAGTTTAAGTACAAGTATTTTTTACATTGTTCTCACTCTAACTTTCAACGAAGCCGGTAGTTTATTCTTCCGACATGATTTTTTCTCTAACTGGCCTCAAAGTAGAACAAATTCACTCCAATACAAGCAATTAGCCCTACGTACATTTGGTTTTCTCGTGTATGACATGCGAAAAGAACCTTTTATTTACATATAGAGGAACATATGAAATCAAAAAATCTGTAGCGTTCCTCGGATAGATATAACCAAAGTTTATTTCTTGCAAGAGTAGTATAATTGCATATCACAATATTTGTTCTAAGTTATTGCTTCCCTGTTACGATCAAAGCTAGCAATATCATCGACATAAGCTGCCATCTCAGTACTGTATGAATCTCACGGCCACTCCCGCAAATATATATGTGGTAAATTTTCATTGATCTCAGAAAATGAAATATCTTGGTAGGTATAGTCTTCCATGTCATGTGCAGCAGCAGGAGGAGGAGGAGCAAGAGAACTACTTGCAGTTGTCCCCAACTCCTTGAGCTGCTTAATGGCGTCCGTGCTCTCCTGCAACTCCAGTGCGCACTCAAGTTCTACCTCCACTTCACCCATCGTGGGCCGTTCAGCTCCTGATAGACGCACACATCTCTCGGCAATGTTCATAAATTTTCTCAAACAACCTGGAGCTACTTTTCCCACCAGAAATGGATCAATCATAGCAGGGAAAGTATCACCCTTTTCCACGCATTCAGGTATATCTCTTGTGCAAGATTTGGCACACAAAACTTCGAATAACACCATTCCAAATGAGAAGACATCAGATTTTTCGGTGAGTTGGCCAGACCATACATACTCTGGATCAATATAGCCCTTTGTACCGGCCAGCTCTGAGTTCAGTCTGATTAATGCATTTGACAAGACAGGAGGACCCCTCTTAGACAACACGAAGCCTGAAAGCTTGGGGACCAAGTTTTGGTCCAATAGAATGTTCCAGCATTTCACGTTTCGGTGGATGATCGTATGCTTAACCCCTGCGTGAAGGTAGTGTATTGCGCGCGCCACCCCAATACAAATTTTCAGCCTTTGCTTCCAAGTCAAGGGAAAGGCATCTTTATTTTTAATATTGCAAGTTTCATAAAGATAATCACGAAGGGAACCATTGGGCATGTAATTGTAAACAATGAAGCACTCTCCATTTTCTTGGCAGAATCCGATGAGGGAGATGAGGTTGGTGTGGCGGAGCTGGCACAGTAACTCCACCTCTGCCCTGAACTGACGCACTTGGTGTTCTGAATCTGTGAAAATGCGCTTGATTGCAACCACGTCTGTCCTGTCCTCATCCCCATTGACCTTAATACGCCCTTTGTATACTGAGCCAAAGACACCACTACCAATAAATAAGCTCGCATCAAAACATTGAGTTGCTGTTGTGATCTCGGCAAGTGAAAAGCGACGGCATAATTCTTCTGGAAACGCCCAATCTTTCTCGGTGTTCTTATAATTTTCATGTGATGACTTCTTCCGAGGAAAGAAGAAACGCGAGACAGACCCTGGAATACGCCTCATCACGCATCAACAATCTGCATTTACACTGCAAGCCTTGGTGGACTGGGAGACGCCACACGCAGTGGTGGCCGTAACAAAATATTATGGTCGCACTCCGCTAAGTAGAGTTTAGAGAGAGGATCCCAAATTATTAACCAGCTGCATATCAGAAATGGCAGTGTCAAGACTCAAGACTCAAAGCCCTTCCAAAAGACGAAGACTTTTAGCTTTGATAGATCATTAAAAATTATCTAATCTAAATTCAAGTGGAGCTTGTTGTCACACCCCACAACTATCTAAATGCATCAAGGACCTTGACACGCCCCGACCCCGATATTCCCCGAATACCAGGATAGGCGCGTGCTGGCCGACACTCGAGGGTGACGAAAGTCATTTATTGAGTGCAAATGCTGAAAACAAGGGGTAAATAAAGTTTATAAATATAAAAGAATAATGAATATGCAAATAAGGACCGTGTTCAGAGCACACCTCTAATCTAGAACACTAAAAAAAAATAATATAAAATTGAATGAAACAAAGGAGTGGGTCCTACACCGAGAGGACTCGAAAACGCCGATGCGGAAGTGCCTGGACGTCGGGATTGTATGCCTCGATTCTAAGTCCTGAAGGAGGCACAAAACAAACATGAGTGGACCAAGTTGATATATATATATATATATTATCAAACAGTTATTAACGTACTAACCTTCAGGTTTTATGAAAACACATATATTATGATAAACATAGGTTTTCCGAAACCTAGCATGTCGTGCAGTATCTCAAATCATAACTTGTATATATAATAATCACTAATGAATTTCCGATATAACTCTCTAGGCCCCATGCCGGCTCCCTGTCTCTGAGCAGACAGTCAGAGGAAAATACACTTCAGGCCCCATGCCGGATCCCTGTCCCTGTGCTAAATAGCCAGAGGAAACACACTCCAGGCCCTATGCCAACACCGAACCGTCGCCCGGGACGGACTGGATCTATCCCTACGTCCCGTAGCGAAAAGGACCACTAGGTAAGTACAAAACCAGGGGACATATATATATTGAAAATCAACTTCATAGTATAAAGTCATCCATCGTCTATACTATAAAGAGGTGTTCTAAACATGTTCTAAATATCATATCGTCATCCATCAGATATTCTATAAGAACATGAGTTATAGGAAAAATAGTAATAATTCAAACTAGTCTCAGTAAGCATGTTATCTCATAAAACGTTCCATAAAACATAATCATCAAATCATGCTTTTCATGTATGCATTTCTACTATCAAAAAATGCATTTTTAGAAGGGATACACTCACAGTACTTCGTCGTCGAAAAGCCACGCCATCTAGCAAAGAAGGAAACGCCCCAGATAATTGCCCCTAAGCACATAAATGGTACATTTAGTCAAACTCTACTCAAACGATTGAATTTGGGAAAACGGACATCGGAAACGGGTTCAGAACATCGAAATTAGCCTAGGAGGGGTCCTGCACGAAAACCCAAAAAGTCAACGATCAACGCTGACCGTTGACCGGTCAACGGTCAGACCGAATCCGGGTCAGCAGGTCAAACGGGTCTGGGCTTGAATCCAGATTGGGTTAAAGGGTTTGGACTTGTGTCACATCCCGGCCCGGGTGGGACCACTTCCCGGGCCCGCTTCCACTACCGTAGCACGATATTGTCCGCTTTGGGCTTACCATTCCCTCACGGTTTTGTTTTTGGGAACTCACGAGCAACTTCCCAGAGGGTCACCCATCCTGGGAGTGCTCTAGCCATCTTCTTGCTTAACTTCGGGGTTCCTACGGAACCCGAAGCCAGTGAGCTCCCAAAAGGCCTCGTGCTAGGTAGGGATGAAATATACATTTAAGGATCAGTCCCCTGGGCGATGTGGGATGTCACAATCCACCCCCCTTAGGGGCCCGACGTCCTCGTCGGCACATTTCCGGCCAGGGATAGGCTCTGATACCAATGTCATATCCCGGCCCGGGTGGGACCACTTCCCGGGCCCGCTTCCACTACCGTAGCACGATATTGTCCGCTTTGGGCCCTGATCACGCCCTCACGGTTTTGTTTCTGGGAACTCACACGAGAACTTCCCGATGGGTCACCCATCCTGGGAGTGCTCTAGCCCTCTTCTCGCTTAACTTCGGAGTTCCTACGGAACCCGAAGCCAGTGAGCTCCCAAAAGGCCTCGTGCTAGGTAGGGATGAAATATACATTTAAGGATCAGTCCCCTGGGCGATGTGGGATGTCACAACTTGGGTTTGGGTCTAATGGGTTTTAGGGTTAACGGGTCGGAGGCCCTAAAAGAAACGGCCCAAAGGCCTTTAAATTAACAAAACAAAAATAAAAATAATAAAAAGGTTGGTTGGGCTGCCCAGGGTTTTCGGCTTGGCAGGAAAGGCCCAAAGGCCTTGGGTTTGGTGGTTCACCGGATTCCAAGGAAGGAGAAGGCCGGATTTCGGCCGGAGAATTCCCAAGCTCCGATGGAGCTCAAAACTCAATCAAAACATGTCATTCAATATACCAAATTGAAGCCCCGAAGGTAAGGAATCGAAATATACCCTTGGTTCCCGTCATCGTGGCCGGAGTTGGCCGGAAAACAGCCTGGAAGCCACGGGTGTCCGCTGGAAACTGGGTAAGATTCAAATGAGTATAACTTCTTCAATACTCAATGAAATTGGGTGAAACAAAAAGGAAAGTTGTAGTACTCAGCGAGAAGAAGAGATTGATACCTTAACACAGGCCAACTCGCCGTGGTTTGGCCGGAAATTGCCTCGAAAAGGGCGGTGCCCGCCGGAAAATTGGGGAAAAGTCTCCGAGGTGGTTTCTTCGTGATTTGACGTCCAAAACACAACCACAGGGTCAGAACAGAATTATAGGGATGAAAAGAGAAGCATTTGGAGTGTTTTGAGGCTTACCCAAAATGGAAGGATGAGGAACTCGCCGGAGTTTCTCTGTGCTCCACAGAAACGAAGAGAGAGAGAGAGAGAGAGAGAGAGAGCTAACGTGGTGATGATGGTGATGTTGTTGTCGTTGATGAGGTATGGGCATGGGTGTGTGTGTGTGTGTGTGTTCTTGTCGGAGAAAAGAGCATCGACAGGGGGGGAGTAAGGGTAGAGAAGAGAGAGTGAGAGAGAGGAGAGAGAGACTTTTCAGAAGAAATAAGAGAAAAGGGAAAGGGAACGGGGACAAAACAGGGGGTGGGCCCTTTGGGCTCACCAATTAAGACTCAAAAACAATTTTAAAAAAGGAAAGTATCCCCAAACTTAGTGAAAATACAAAAATACCCTTTTTCTTCCGTAAATTCCCGGACGGGTTGTTACAGACCCATTTTGGGCGACCAAATTTTTTTATACCATAATAAGTAGATGTCAAGTGTAGATATGAGCTAGGTCAGTTGGCAATGTTTTTGACACACTTGAACCCCGATGTCCAAGTGGACACCAAAATCGAAGAATGCTGGCCGTCACTCGAAAGCGTAGCCATAACGTGCATGCAAATACAATTTAATAAACTCCCCGAAGGGCCACACCTAATGGGTCTCATACCCTCCACTACCAGAATGTTCATAGTTCATAACATAAGTACTAATGTGCATGCGGAAGCCAAAGTATTCAAAAGAAAGTCCAGATGTTCTATCCATGCGCATATGAATTTACTACGAATGTCCTACAACAAGAATATGTCTCCTTACATTTTCAGGAGTATGTCAGAGCTGATAGTGTTTGATTTCTGGATTGAGTTTCTTCAATGGAATGGTAAAAAGCATAAATGTACAGAGAGAAGGAATTAGAGAGCTATGGAAGCTTCAAGGTTCATTGAATTCCACTCACGCCAAGCAAGAAGCTCGGAGAGCATATATTACCGTTAGAGGAGTAACAAACTCACTCTCTCACATCATTACAAATCAATCACAGCCATCCATTCTTAAGTCATCATGTAAGATGTTGACACTTGTCATGAGCTATAACTCAACACAATCTAATCTAGATGCCGTATGGAATATGATCCAACGGCTCACATTACATCCTACAACCTGCATATAATAAAACCATCACAGCAAATACATTTATACACCAATACGAGCTGCATTAATAGGCTTCTAATTTGGACATAGATATGCAATGAAAATTTACATTTTCGGGAGTATGTCAGAGCTGCAGAAGAAGACACAACCAGGCATAGATATGCAATGAGAATTTACTCACAATATAGAATCAAAACATCCGATATTGAAGGAATTTACTAACCATGATTTGAACATTCTGAATTACTAACAATTGTTTTAGCAAAACTGTGAAGTTCTATAATAAACTTGTTTCATAAGCCACGATAGACTAGCAGAACATTTACTAATCTGGGATTATTACAAAATGAAGAAAACTATTACCAGTTACAAATGCCCCCGAACACCGGCCACACCAACAGATTTATCACTTTCATAGAACTCTCACCATAATATATATATATATATATATATGTGCACACACCCTTTAAGAGGAGATCTCCATTTTTTATCAAAAAATACGATCATTCAAACCGTTTATTTCATATGTCTTGATTCGTAAATCATTCTTGCAAAAATTTAATTCAATCCGAAACAATTTGCCTATTTAACTATCACAATAAAATTTCATTGTTTCTTATAGAACAAAGTGTTCGTCAATTCCCAGTTGCAGCACAAGGGTTTCCGTTGCTCTCATACATTTCGAGAAGGGAATGTCGTTGTTAACAAATTAACCAATTTAGAGCTTCTCTCTTCTTCTTTTGTTTGGCATGCAACTCCTTCTATAGAGATTCTTCCTTTTCTGCATTTAGACTTCGTGGGCATGCCAGATTACAGGTTTATCTCCACTTCTTGATGTATGATTTTATTTTTTACCTAATCCTTTTGGGTTATCCTTTTTGTTTTGCCGCTTATTTTGCAAGTAACATTTTAAGCTTTATTTTAGATGAGATTGACTCTATGTCCCCCCTATTACTTGTATTTTCTTTTCCAAAAGGGGTAAGGTTTATGTTCCCCTTTTCTTCTATTTTTTTTTTCAAGAAGGGTAAGGTTTATATCCCCTCTCTTTTCTTGTATTTTGGTTTTCTTGTTTTATGAGGGGTAAGATTTATGTTACCCCTGACTAGGTGTAACTTCTTTTTTCGTATCAATAAAATTCCTTCGTACCGTCGATATTTTCCGAAAAAAAAAAAAAAAAAAAAATAAATAAATATCTCAAGTATTTTCGATTTGGTTAATATTTTGTAAGAATGATTGATGAGATGCAACTTGAAAAATCTAAAAGTTTATATTGTTAAGGTTCAATGTGGTGTGGACCGCACAACTAATCCACATTTGAAAAAAAAATTAAGAATCTTTTCCCTTAAAGGCCTCCTATATATATATATATAGGCAATGTCAACTGCTTTTATTCTTAAACCAACATGATCATCTCCGGATCCTTTTAGTAAGGATTTTAGGGATTCGCGAATCGTGTACATCGTACGATCAGTTTTTTTATCCAGTACTGCTTGTGTTTAATTTTAAATAAAAATATTTAAAATAATTTTTGACCGCAAGATATACGATGAACGGACAAGAATGAGAGATCCCTGAATCCTCACAAAGAGGATCCGGATTCATTCCTTAAGATGATAATAAAAATGTTCATGAGAAAAGCACACACAACCAACGACTCCATGTATAAGAATAGACTAATTGACTTTCAGAAGAAAAATTTGTTCCATGTTTCACCAGTTCAAAGTTCATCAAGAAGAACAACCAAAGATAAAATTATATACCACATAATAGTTCAAAAGAAAGGGAACCACTTACATAGAAAGAAAACTAGGATTAAACTTCTCTCTTGGATTGAGGTCATTCCGGCGGGATTTGCTTCCTTTCTCGCCTTTGTTATGCCTTGTGTGGCCGTTTTTGGGGGAATTCGACGATGGCTTAGATTCTGATATAAAATTTGTCGAAAATGATAGCCGAATGAAAAGGTATAAGATTTGAAGTTAAGAGAGCAAAAGGGGAAGGAAATGAAGAACAACAGCTGAAATATAAAATGTTACAGAAACAAACTCAGTCAACTTATTCATACGTTTCCTGTTCATCAAATAATCTCACACTAACAAAAAAAATAAATAAATAAATAAAATATATATATATATATATATATATATATATATATAGAGTTCATAAAAATTGGATCAAACTACAAGACAAAATAAAAATGTAATCAACCCAAAAGGTGAACATGGGCTTCACATGCACATCAATCCATAAATAAAAAAAATTAAAAAAAAATGTATTTATTCCTACAAAAGGGGGAAGTAACGTGCAAAACAGGGGCTCCTCTTTTTTCGACAACAAAAGGACGTGGAGGACTGGACAGTTGGTGAGAGACGTTAAGAGAAAGTGGTGGAATACATGGCCTCCATTTCCCCCATGTAAAAACTCTAGAGCCCTCCTAAGATGTCTATAAATAGGCATAAGTTGCAGTAAGAAAGGGGGAAAAAAAGACAGATAGAAAAACGCTACAGAAATTGAGGGACAACGGAGAAGAACGGCCGGCAGAAATCTTGAGAGAGTTGGAGAGAAATCAAAGAAGTGAAGTGCTGCGGAAATTCAAGGAGACAAATGCAAACAGAGAAGAGGATACACGGCAAAGGAAAGCAACAAAGCATTTAAAGGTATAAATCCATCCTTCTAAAACTTTCTTTGTTTGGTTCTTCAACCTCTCCCATTCCCCCGAAGCAAAAATGGAGGTGGTGACTCTAAAGAAGCAAACCCAAATTCTTTTCCAATCTCTCATGTTTCTCGGATTCTCCACCAAAACTCATGGAACTCTCCAAGTGACACGTCCCGACCTCGATATTCCCCAAATACCAGGATAGTTACGTGCTGGCCGATACCCGAGGGTGACTAAAGCCATTTATTGAATGCAATTGCTGAAAACAAGGGATAGATAAGACTTATAAATATAAAAGAATAAAGAGTAAGCATTTAAGGAACGTGTTCAGAGCATACAACTAATTAGAACATTAAAAGAAATAATATAAAATTGAATGAATAAAAGAATGGGTCATACGCCGAGAGGACTTGAAGATGCCGATGCGGAAGTGCCATGATGCCAGGATTGATTGCCTCGATTCTAAGTCTTGAAGGGGGCGCAAAACAAACATGAGTGGACCAAGTTGATATATATATATATAATACAACAATTATCAACGTACTAACCCCCAGGTTTTATGAAAACACATATATATCATGATAAACATAGGTTTTTTGAAACCTAGCATGCCATGCAATATCTCAAATCATAACTTGTATATATAATAATCACTAGTGAATGTCCGATAACCCCCAGGCCCCATGCCGACTCACCGTCTATGAGCAGACAGTCAGAGGAAAATACACTTCAGGCCCCATGTTGGTTCCCTGTCCTTATGCTAAATAGCCAGAGGAAACACACTTCAGGCCATTTGTCAACACCAAACCGTCGCCCGTGATGAACCAGAATCTATCCCTACATCCTGTAGCAAAAAGGACCACTAGGTAAGTACAAAACCAGTGAATATACATATATTGAAAACAACTTCATAATATAAAGTCATCCATCATCTATACTATAAAGAGGTGTTCTAAACATGTTCTAAATATCATATCGTCATCCATAGGATTTCTACAAGAATACGGGTTATAGAAAAAATAGTAATAATTCAAAATAGCCTCAGTAAGCATGTTATCTCATAAAACGTTTCATAGAACATAATTGTTAAATCATGCTTCTCATGTATGCATTTCTATTATTAAAACATGCATTTTTAGAAGGGGTCCACTCACAATACTTAGCTGCCAAAGAGCCATGCAATTAGCGAAGACGGAAATGCCACAATTAATTACCCCTAAGCACATAAAGGGTACATTTAGTCAAACTCTATTCAAACGATTGAATTTGGGAAAACGGACATCGGAAACGGGTTCAGGACGTCGAAATTAGTTTAGGAGGGGTCCCGCATGAAAACCCAAAAAGTCAACGGTCAAAGTCAACGCTGACCATTGACTGGGTCAAAGTTAACGGATCCAGGTCAAGGGTATTGGGTTGGACCGGGTTGGTCAAAGGGTTTGGACTTGGGTTTGGGTTCTGATGGGTTTGGGTTTTAAAATGCACGGCCTAAGGCCCTAAAGGGAAATAGCCCAAAGGCCCTTAATCCAAAACAATTAAAATTAAAACAAAACAAAAAGGGAGAAATGGGTTTGGGTTGGGCTCAGCAGGAAAGGCCCAAAAGGCCTATGTTTGATTGGTTGCCGGACCCAAAAAAGGTCGGAATTCGACCGAAAAACTGAACAAACTTTAAACCCTCATAACTTTCTCAATACTCAACAATCGAGTGATTCAAAAACGAAAATCATAGTTCTCGAAGAGATGAAGAAAATGGTACCTCGCACGACATCTAACTAGTTGTGTTTGGGCCGGAAAATGCCTCGAAATGCTCAGAGGTCGTCAGAAACTGGGTAAGATTCAAATAAATATAACTTCTTCAATACTCAACGAAATTGGGTGAAACAAAAAGTAAAGTTGTAGTACTCGGCGAGATGAAGAGATTGATACCTTGCATGCTGACTAACTCGTCGTGGTTTGGCTGGAAATTGGCTCGAAAGCCGTCGAACTTACCGGTAAAACTGGGAAAACATCCTTCGAGTTGTTCCTCACTACAAACCTTCACCAAAGCACCTAAAATGAGTCCTAACCAGAGTTTGATCGATCTCCGAGAGAGTCCCAAAGCTTACCAAGGTTGAGGGTTCACCGGAGAAATGAGTTGTTCTCCGAGCTTACAATTTCGAAGGTTGGTATTCGTTCCTTCCTCCACTGAGATGGTGACTTGGTGCATCCATGTAAGTGTGTATGGGTGCGTATGTGTGTGCATTTGTATGTATGGGTGTCGATCGGGAAAGAGCTCGAGAGAGAGGTGAGCTCAAGAGGGAGAGATAAGGGAGAGTGAGGGATAAGAGAGAATAGAGAGAGAGACTTTTCAGAAAAATAAAAGCGAAGGGAAAGGGAACCAGGAGACAAAACAGGGGGTGGGCCCCTTGGGCTCACCAATTAAGACCCAAAAACCATTATTTTAAACAAAAGAAACCCAACCAAAGTGAAAATACGAATATACCCTTTTTATTCCGTAAATCTCGGGACGGGTTGTTACACCAAGGCCTCATGATTCATCTCCAAATCCCGCAACAATCTGCCTTTTTTATGAGAAATGCAACCAATTGGTATAGAAGGGTGGTCAAGAAATCCCAGCAGCAAGTTATGAGTTAGAAGACAAAGAATAATGCTTCAAGAAATCCCAGGACCTACTCGTCAAGCACTTTCTTGGCACAACATGTCTCTATGTAGACACGGAGGTGCCAGAAGGTGATTTTTACGGGGACGGTCAAAATGTACTCGCCATGAATTTTCTCAGCACAACATGTCTCTACATAGACACGGAGGTGCTGGAAAGTGATATGTACAGGATAGTCGGATCTACTCGTCAAGTATTTTCTCGGCCTGCATGTCTCTATGCAGACACGGAGATGCCAAAAGGTGATCTTTACAGGAAAGGTTTAGGATGCAAGCAGTCCCTCTCCATTCCAGAAGTCATGCATCGCACAATCAGAGCCACTGAGCTAAAAAAGGAAGTCACAATGGCGAGACGTAAAAATCATGCCTCATTCACGGTAGTTATTCAATGTTCGTTGTGACAAGCATCAAATATGGAGGAATAAAGTTGCAGTGAAGGAAGACAACAACCAACCCGTTTCTGCTGTTCAGACGCTCTCCAAAGGTCCTCTAAAAAATTACACCGACAAATAACTCGGTTCTTCCGGCAATCTCTCGGAGTGGTTCAATGCATGAAACAACAACTCCCGCCTAATGAGAGAGGAAGTTACAACAAGCAATGATCCCGGACAAGGTCACAGCGAGCGATGGATTTGTATGAACAGAGTCGGAGAAAGAAGTCGCACCAAAAAGAAGGATGCTTCTAGCAAAGGAAAAAATAAAAACCAACCCGGTTGTAGCCGTCGTCTTGGAGTTAAGAAGAAGATAGGTTGCTAACGATAAAGAAGCAGGGGAAGCAAAGTCCTATTTGAACTTGGAAAGCTTAATTCAAAAAGAAAAGAGAGAACAAAACTTGCTGACAACTTCATTGGGAAACTCACTCACATGGCAACCTTAGGAAAGATGGGCCTACTTTTGTTCCTGCTATTTTGACCAAGTGATTACAAATTCTACAAGAGTAAGAAATAATTCTCCAAACAAAGTTCCTAGATTTCCAATGGATGCTGCTCACGCAACAAAGTTCCTAATTTTATAGGGAATGTTGCTCCATGTGAGATTGAAGAAAGAAAAAAACAACAATTTTTTATTCACGTGAACTTTATAAATTTTGAACTCCGTGCATAAAAATTGGGCCTATGGCAACGACATCAATTCCATGGAGGACGTAAATCACTTTAGATGCTATGGATGCAAACTATTTCGAGGCATGAAGCCATATCAAAAACCAATGGCATGAAGACGCGTCAAATTTTATATGGCACAAAGTTACTTCAAATGCCACGAAGCCGTATCGAATATCAAATGGCACGAAGCCACGACAAGTCTCAAATGGTTCAGCTCCAATGGCTCAAAACCTCGCCCGCATGAGTTGAAATTGCACAAGGCATCAAATCCTAGCAAATATATTACGAACTACGCAAGTTTGATTTCGTTTAGGATACGTGGGCAGTCTGATATCAAATTTTAGATACAATCGTGAAATCGAAACAAATCTTTAGTTTATAAACTAAATTCATTCTAAACTTTGTCCGAATCGTTCGATTAAACCAAGGACCAAATTCTTTTTCATATTTTTTTAGTGGATTATTCATTCCCTAAAAAATTTTCCAAATATTATTTAAAGAACTACGAGCGGCTTGATCTCTCAACGAGGGTATGTAGGCAATTCAAGCCTTTCGCTTAAATGCAGCCACAAAATCAAATAAAAACACCAACCCGCGAAATTCATATTTTTCATGTTAGAATCAAAAGGTATTCTGTTCTTTAAGTGAAGGGTTGTAATTAATAAACGCATAGTCTATAATGGATCGAACTCAAATTAATAAAAA